CTGGAACAGGTTGCCCGGAAAAGCTGTGAATGCCCAGTCCCTGGGAGTGTTCGAGGCCAGGCTTGATGGGACTTTGAGCAACCTGGTGTAGTGGAAGGTGTCCCTGCCCATGGCAGGGCAGGCTGGAACGAGATGATCTTGAAGGTCTCTTCCAACCCAATCCATTCTATGATTCTGCAATTCTATGATTCTAAATCTGTGTAGTGTTTTCCTCATTTCTGAGTTACTTCTGTGTCCTGAAATCCCATTTTCTTTTCAAACTGTGGACACGAGTCTTGCATTCCTACTGAGGTGAGTGAATCTGATGGGGCTGTACTTCTGTAGCTCAGGGGCATTTTTAGCTGGTATTCAGGTGCCCGAGTCAGCCAAAGGGAGGAACTGGTACCTCCACCTGCCCTTCCCACTTTGGGGCATCCCTCCTGGATGATGTACTTGCTCAAAGGTCAAGCACATACCTGCAATGCAATTCTTAATCAACTACCCTCTTCATTGGGACCCCTGGTGGCCTAGTGGTTAGCATGCAGGACTCTCACCACTGCGACCCAGGTTCGATTCCCAGTCCCCTGGGCAGATGGAGCTCATTAGCCCTGTGAGGCCATCCATCTAAGAGAAGGTCACTCTAAACAAACCTACGTCCTGAGGACCTCACTGCCATTGTCCAAGCTTGCTTGGCCCCGGCAGATGAACCTTAGGATTAAAGGGTGGGCTCAGTTCAGCGCATGCTGTGTCTCACCTAAAAAATCCATTGCGCAGGCTGGAAAGGTAAAAGACCTTTCCAAAAATCTTTGTTCATGAAGACTGGCCATTATTACCCTCTTCATTAGCTTCATGATACTCAAAAATTTCCTTTAACTGCACATATCCTCACTAATCTTTTACAGAATCTGATTCTTCATTTTTAAAAGGGTCCTCTAATTGTTTTGTCTCTCTCTAACCGTGTTCTGTGCCACCTTTTTAAAAGCATCCATCTTAAAGGACAGACAAGTATAAACTAGACAAAAGAAAACCATTTCTTAGTCAACAGGGATATGGCTGATAAAACCCAGCCCAGCTACCATTGTGTCCTGGGTATTTTTACTGTTTCTATGCTTTTTTCCACCTTTGCAGTTATTAATATGGCTAGAAGAGTCTATGAGATAATTTTCTAACTTCTTTTGTGTAGTTTTTTACCACATGTATAGCAGAGAAGAAGAGTATGAACATGTAACCACCAGACTACCACCACATTCCGCACATAATTCATTCCTTCCTAACCCATGCTAAGGCTAAAGAATGCTGCCTTAAACATGAAATTGTATCCTGACAATGGGTGATCCCAAGCAGTGTCTGATTTCTGCTTCTGCACTGAAAACCTCAGAACTTCACAGATACCACCCTAGAGGAGCACGCAATTGCCAGGCAGTGTGGTTTTTTAGCAGATGCTTCTCCTCATAGTAAAGGTACCCACAGTTTGTGCTAGCTTATTGCATTGGTGCATGGCAGAATTTCCCAGAAATTCTGGACAGTTCTTGGTTTATCAAAGGATCTATCTAGGCTCTTATGGGCATAATTTTCCCATCTGCCTCATTCTACTTTTTCATGCCTTGGTTCATGCGTATCTAAGGATAACCCAGGGCACGTTTTTTTGATTACTCTTTGATACAGTTGGATAAAAAATGTATGCCAGAAAAACCCATCAAAGTCTGAGATCAGAATTAGTTCTCCTGGAGAGAATCAGAAGAGTTACATTTATTTTTCCAAGAAGGATATCTCCTAAATTACAGACCATAACAGAGTCTGCTGCTGCTGCTGCAGTTCAGCAGCCATGCATGTGCGTAGATACTATCCTGGAGCTTCTTCTCTCCTGATAATCCTACTGACAACTCATGCTCTGTCTATCACAAAAACCTCCTACTCACCTGCTTTTTCTATCAGATGATTTACTTGCAAAAAACAAAATCTCTAAAGATGCCTGGATTATTTCAGAGGTGTCTTAGACAAACAAAAATATAGATAATAACTAGAACCCAGCATCTCTTGGACTGAATGTGAATGCTCCCCTAAACAGCTAACGGGGAGTCCTCTGTTGCTCAAAATACAGAGAGGCTTGTACCGTTTTATTTGTGTGGTGGAAAATAAAGTGAATATATTCACTTGCCAATGATTACATGACTGATTTCTGCACTCTAATCTCCTGTCATTTCTAGTCCTATACGGCCACAAAGTTGTGGAAGTTGCAAAATTCTCATTGGCTACATGATTAGGTTTTCCAGAATCCCAAATATTTTACAATGTTATCTCTTTGAATCAGACATTATATTATATATTCTGTAGACCTGCTTGGTTTTTAACCAGCCAGTAAGAAAAAAGGGTATTTAGCTCTTAAACCTTTTATTTGAATTAGCCTTCAAAATAACCCGTAAATACCAGTTTCAGATGGAGATTTAAAAAGTAACAACAGAGAATGGAAAAGGATATAGCTTTGGGGAAAGATTTATTTGTCAAGTTGGGCATTTAGTGGTCCTTTATAATATTCTTCTGGTAGCAGCCACAAGAATATATATCAGCATTCGTACTAGAATAATAAGCAACTGAATCTAATTCTGAGTAAGCACCTGAAGATTATTTGAGATTCACAGAAGGATGGAAATAGAAGAATCAGAACATGATAGTAAAAAGAAAAAAGAGAGCGTTGAGCTTTTTGAAAAGAAGCTGAAGTAAAATTAGAGATAAATAAACAAGCAAATGTATAAACAAGATGAAGATTCCATAGGAATTTGGATCCAATTAACATGTTGTGACAAGAAAAGTAACAAATACAGCATTTTCAGATATGTATCAGCATTTTCTTTAGACTGGGAAACTAGTCACAATAACACCTCTAGGAAAGAACTCATATTAATTTTTCAGCTGGAAAAACCCTTGTTGGCTTAAGGCCTTTTGTGAGGCAGAAAGGGTTAGCTCCTTGGCTGGCTGGTTGCACACAGAATAGATGCATGTGGATTTTCAGTTGTCTCTAACAAGTCCCTGGTCTCTCATTAGGACTGTTCTCTTCTCGTGATGTGTGCTGAGAACTTATCACATCTCCTAAACTTGCATTTGCCCCTCATTGCACAGGAGGAGAATTGAGCCCTCAGGGACGTCACTGGTGACCAGCCACCAGCAAGATGTGGCCTCACTCACCGCAGCCCTTTGAGCCCTGTCCTTCAGCCAGTACTTTGCCCAGTGTGTAGTGAACCTACTCATCCCACCATTGGACAACTTGTCCAGAAGGATGCTGTAAAGGACAATATCAAAAGCCTTACTAAAATCCAGAAAAACTGCAACCATTACCTTCCCTTCATTCACTAGATGTGTGATCTTATCACAAAAGGGTATCAAATTGGTTAAACAGGACTTTCCCTTGTGAATCCATGTGCTCACACTCCAGGTAATTTAATCTGTCAGTCCTCAGATTGTGGGGGGGAAATGCCATGTAAAATCTCACTACTAAAGTTAGGAGATAGGTTTTTTTTTCTTTGCTTTCTTTGCTTTGTAGGTCTACAGTCTAGAAATCATACTCGCTCATAACCTTCCTCAAACCTAGCACCAGTAGAGGAATAGGACTGTGTGGTTTTCTCCCACCGTTCCTGTTATAGGAGGAGGCCACCGGGGCAGACTGGCAGAGCAGTAATGCCTTAAGCTGCTGGAGCAGAAGCAACTGAGCTCACCTGCCAAAGGCCTTATTTACCTGAACAGTGCTGCTGCCTGCCCTGTGAGGCAGGGCTCGCTTGGAACACCTTGGGTAGTCGTGACAGAGCAGTTGAATCACAGGCTGGAGGAAGAGAGTCCACAGAGCTTTAAGCATACTGGCCTGCAATTGCAAAGACTCATTCAGTTCAGGAATCTGGATGCCCAAAATGAGCTACTGAACAGAGTTCCCTTCTGGCTACCCAAAATTATGTGTATTGCTGAGTCATGCCATCCTCCAGCTGGTGATTATGGTCTTCCTCACCACTTCCTGCCATATTAGAGCAATCCAGTGAGAGGCCAAGAGAGAAGACCTCTGGTTTATGCAGAATTCAGTGCTGTACATACCCTAATGACATCTCTGTAAACATCTTGTTATTGTTGGAGAGCATATTGACTTTTTTAAGAGCAGCCGCTACCCTCCTAGAGGGTAGGGCAGCCCTCAAGACAACCCTCATAGTCACAGGAAATAGGACCTTGGAGGACATCCAGTCTATGATCCTATCCATCTAAGCTGTTCCAGAAGGCTGCTTGCCTAAACTCTACCTGGTTGCCTTTGAGTTCTGTAAAATGTCATGCTCCAGCAGAAAATCATAATATAAGTATTTGCATGCATTGAAGAGAGACTCTGGTAGAAGTTCTGGACTGTCTTGTTTGATTAAACACGAACTTGTAGTGTAGGATCTGGATCGTGCAATGCAGAAAGGGAACTGTGCCTATTCCAGCAGAGAATTCCATGTAAAAGGTCTGCTTTTATACATTTCAGAAGAAAAAAATCTCAACTTCTTGGAAAGATAATTTTTAACTTGTGGTGTTCTGAGGTTTTGTTTACTATCTTGCACAAATCCTGAATTCTTATAATTTTTCATATGAAGGACATACATAAATAGCTTCCTAGGAGTTGAGAAAGAGCATCTAGTTTACATATAATGAGAAGACTGTCATTTTCTTTTTAAAATACAAAGAGCTTAATTATTTATACTGCTCTGAGTCCAAAAATTCTGCCTCCTCAGTTCAACAAGCAAGTTTTTTTAGTCCTCCCCTTGAAAAATGAAGGCATTCTAGATTTTAATTTTATGGTTTCCCCAAAGGGGGTTTTATAATGCAGTTTTTTCCTGTGGACAAAAGTATCAGGAAAAGAAATTAGGAAAAAGTAAGCAACTGCCTTGTTTTTATCGAAATACACCCACTCTTCTGGGTGGAACTAACTCAAGAAATGAGGAAGAAAGATGGAACTATTGGCAAATTAGATGAAAAATACTGTTTTAGTGTAAAAAAAATTGCCCCAAATGTATTTTTCTTTCATTTTTGTGGGCTTTTTTTTAAGAAAAGTATGTAACCCCTCTCCACAGAAACTTCTGGTCTGATGAACCTGCCACATCTTTTAAAATGAAAATGTACGTAATGTATATAATGTAATTTTCTGGAACCTGAAGCACCAGTTAGGAACTTCAGGGCATATCCAGTTTATCCGTAGTTTATAGTCAAAAACAACTCTAATTCCTCAGCCTCTGCTGCCATCGCGTGGCCATGAACCATCCATTAATGCTAAAATTCACCCAATCCTCTTAACTTGTTGCACTGTATTTCCTCAGCTTTATTTACCAGGTTCATTACCCATAACACAATCCAATTTTCTTCCTCAATTTTCAGAAATATCATGAATAATTGACGTTGATTTTTTTTTCCTAGTTTCTGCAGATTGAAATATTTTTAATGCCAGATAGTGAGCAAGTCGGTCATGCAACACAGCAAATTGCTTTGGTGGGTTTGGTTTTTGTTCTGCTACTGGTATCCCTCTATGAAACTGGTAATCAGAACACATGTATTAACCCACCTTTGTCCATAATGCTGTTTCTTTCCCTAAGGAGTTCTATCTGCTATTTCTTTTCTAGGAAGGAAAAACGGCTGAGCAGAGAACAGATAATACATACGTGACTTCATCTTCCTGCTGTGAAACAACAGTAATCCCACAGAGATCTGCTAAAAAAGAAGAAATTTTTTTCTGCATCTGGCTAAAAACTTCCACATGTCGAAAAAAAGTGTTTTAGGATAAAGAAGATTACTTTTCTGTGACAGGAGCATCCTGGAATCTTCTTTCTTGGTTAATGCTTTAAGTTTTACTATGCTGAACTATTTTGAGTGGAGAGAAAACAACATATCTGTGAGGTTAAGCTTGGTTTTAGATATTCAAAGACAAAATAAACTATGTAAAAATTCTGTAGCAATCTAGGCCATACACACTACAATACCGTGTACCCCTGTTTGAATATCTATACAAATTCTCCTAGTTCAGCATAGCTCAGAGGATTAAAAAATGTATACTTTTACCGATATTTTCAAAGGTTTAGCCACATGTTGGTGTTTTATTCATGGATGATTTTTAAATTAGTTGATGCATTGAAAGGAGGGATTAATTCCTTCCTGATATTAAATTTCCTGATTGCAAAGATTGTAAAGAAAGTACTCACTTAAAATTCTCAGATGTAATCAGAACCAGCTAGGTTATATTTTTAGACTGATAGGAAAATAAACTGTCTCCATGACTCATCAAGATATTTTAAGAATGTTCCTAATTCATTTGCGTGCTAATTTTTGTTGCAGTCACTGTGGCTGATTGTGTGCTTACAGTCAAGTACAGGTCTGTCTTGTATGACAAAGGCACTCAATATGCACTAAGTAATACCTAAACGATGACTTAAGCACCGAATAATATCCATGTTTAATTTTAATAATCTGCCAAAATAGTAACAAACATCGAGTAACTCAAGCAGAATCTAAATGTTCTATGTTTTGTCACAAGAAAATAGTCCCATCGCACCATTATGTAATCCTAAATTCTAAGAAGTAAGATTTCCAGTATACTCTAATAGACTTGTTGAAATCTGTATTTATTTAAAAAATGGCTAGAAATTTAAAAAAAAAATCTGTTGCTGAACAAGGCCAAATGTTTTGCATAAAGTAAACATTTTTAAAATATGTTTCATTTAAATTTGTGTCTAATACTTCTAAATAATTTTCACCCTTAACATGCTAAAGAAAATGTATGAAATTGTCTAAAGGAAAAAGATTAATTGGACATATTTCTGACTCTGCTGAATTCAGCTTGAGCCATACTGTTGATGTAGGTAGAACGAGAGTTTACCAAATGTATATGGAAGTTATTTGGTTGGGGGTGGGTGACATTAATATAAAGCATTCTAAAATGCTATGGTTTTGTGTTTGAAATACCAGACGCAAATTTTTATCCTCTTTGAAGTGATTATGAAGGAATGAAAATAAGTAAATAAAATTGCAAATGTTTTACTTTAAGCTACAGTAAATACTCCTTGGAGACAGGATGAAATTTAACCTCGATTCAACACCCTGTACTCTACTGTACTCCTACAAAAATTCTCTAAGTCCTGTAGCAGCTTCTGTTAACATTTTTAATGAAAAAAAAATTGGTAAGATAAATGCTCTCAATATATTTGCTCGCTTTCAAATTATTTTATACTGTACTGTCTCATATTCTCAGTTTTCAACATGTCCTGGATCTTTGATTTCTGAACAAAACAATCAATTTTAAATTAATAGACATTTGTGAGAGTTACACTCAGCTATATAGCAAAGAATTTCAACATTCATCGTAACTCTTCTGTGAACATTTTACATTACACAAAACAAAGTTTTATTTAATTATTAAATATTTAAACATTATTTAAATAATATTTAATATTAAATCAATATTATTTAAATATTATTTAAATAATATTTAATATTAAATAAATGTTTTAGAATTTTTATATTATGATCCAAATTGGTCTGATGCTCTACTAACTACAATTTTGTATTTAGCAGTTCTCCACCTGTATTCAAAGACAGGGAACTGGTTTCAGGTAGATTAGATCCTGCAAGAGTCATCCCAAGGGAGACAAATATTGAGGAGACTTCCTGTTGCAGTAGCTGTTGAAGATATCTTCAACCACCTAAACAGAGAATGAAAAAATACCTGCTACACCTGCTGAATTGAAATACATTTTAATTGGGAAGAAGTGAAATCAAAGTTTAAGGAAAGAAGTTAAATCAAATTATCATAGAATCATAGAATGGCCTGGGTTGGAAGGGACCTTGAAAATCATCCAGTTTTAACCGACCTGCCATGGGCAGGGGCACCTTCCACTAGACCAGGTTGCCTGAAGTCCCATCCAACCTGGCCTTGAACACTTTCAGAGATGGGACATCCACAACTTCACTAAAGTCTCTGAATCAACCCTCTTTCAGTTTAAAGCCAATTCCCCCTTGTCCTACCACTACAAGCCTTTGTAAAAAGTCCCTCTCCAGCTCTCTTTAAGTAGCCCCCATTTAAGTACTGAAAGGTTGCTGTAAGGTCTCCCTAGACCCTTGTCTTTCCCAGGATGAACAACTTCATCTCTCTCAGCCTGTCTTCACAGGACAAGTGCTCCTGCCCTCTGATCATCTTCATGGTCCTTTTTTTGGACTTACTCCAACAGGTCCACATCTTTCCTATGCCAAGGACCTCAGAGCTGGACACAGGACTCCAGGTGGGGTCTCACAAGGACAAAGTAGAGAGGGAGAACCATCTCTCTTCCCTGCTAGCCACAATCTTTTTGGTGCTGTCCAGGAAGCTGTTGGCCTTCTTGGATGCAAGTGATTGCCAGGTCATGTTGAGTTTCTCATCCGCCAACACATGACCAAAAAAATTCCTTTTGAATCCTATGTTCCTTCCAATTTTACCACTGTAAAGGGCTGAGAAATACTTCATGAGGGAGTGAAGAATCATGGAATAAAAACATAAGGATGCACAGGAATAGACAGATAATAGCAAGAGTAGCAAAGCTCAAGAAGGGGACAAGCAGAAGCAGTTATTATTCCTAGTGCCACGATTACTGATTTTTTTCATGAGCACATTTTTTCAAGAGTACCAACATAAACACAGCCTGGCTTTCTTCCTCTGAAATTTGAAGAGCCTCCAACATCGACCATTTTCACTGACTTCATTAATTCCCTACTTCATTCATACTTTAAGGAAAGAAAAATCTATAATATGCATGAGGGAGGCTTGAGAAATGCTGAATTGAATTTTTCAAATGCGCTTTTTTTACCCATTCCCCTGCTGATAATAAATATTAGCAACATTAAGAGCCTCCCTGCTTTAATGGAAAACTTCTCAGATGTTTTATGCATGGATTTGGAGCTTTTTAAATGTTCCCAAGAATGGTCACACTGACAAAAGATATTTTTCCCATTTTGTCATATGAATGCTAAAGGTAAAAAAAATTAAAAAAATAAAATCAAACAGAACCTCAAATTTAAAACTCTGAGGTTTAAAGTCACTTTGCCCCTCCTCAGACGTGCTGCCTATTGAAATCCATTCCAAGAGTGGGACTACAGAGAACTGCAGTGGGACCAGCTTACAATTGTCCACTGGAATGTCAGTAAGAACCTAATGACTCTACTCCAAACCCCAAATGATCACAGAACCACCTCCCCTAACAAAAAATAGCATAAAGACAACATAGTGCAGCCTCTTAGTTAAAAAAGGCAAATCAAACTGTGACTCTTCAATTGCTTCTGTCAATTATTATCTATTGCTTAAGCAAAATAAATTGGGAGACAACATGAAAGAACAATCCTGTGCCCTTTCATTTCTGCTTAATCTATAATCCATTAGTGATGGGTTGAGGCAATCGTTTTATGAAGCACTTAGAGAGCAGAGACCATAGTGCAAATAGCAAGTCTCTCTGAGAATGTAGAACTCTCTTCCTCTGAAAAAAATGCAGTTAGAGTTCAAAACACCATAGTGACCACCTTGTTTTTTCATACACGCATAATATGCAATGACTCAATTGCTTGGAAGTGTTTGTAATATGAGCAGCATACAGCTTTTTCTTTATCAGCTCTGCAGAATGCATTGTAGGTCAAAGGACAACCTTTTAAAGACTTAAAACCCCCCAACACTGGAACTGGAGGATCTGATGGGGATTGCTTGAAATAGAAGGAAGTTATTAACATTATTGCTATTGTCAGTGTAGCAACATATTTACATAGAAAAAAAAAACAAAACCAAAAGCTGAGCACTTCTCAGTACATGTAATTTGTTTCAGTTTGCCTATGGCATGTCACATATTTGACCTTGTTAATATTCCCATGAGTAACCAACACAAGATAGGTAGGAGTCAAATACAAAGACAAACCTCATCAACCTTTGCGAGTGGATCTTTTTTTCAGGCATGCAATCTCTCTTGGTTGTTGATTAATGTTTTTGTATGTCTCAAAGGCTTTCTCTAATCATCAACAGCCACATATTTCACTTCTCAGTCAAACATGTGTATATGCACTTATAAGCCTTCTAGACCCAAGGACAGTCTGTGTCCTCTTCTTTCTCAGATGTTTGGGATTTTTCTTTTCTTTAGTTTTCGGGTGACTCGAGGATTCTTCAGCTTAATGGGGATAGGACTTGAATGCGGAAGAACAATCTGTTGCAAGGAACAACCAGTTTCCTCCTTCGGACATTGCAGGTTCCTCTGCATCCTAAAGTCTAGTCCTCAGTTCAGCCAAATTAGTCTCTCCAAAGATTCCTAAATTCACGTTGTTGATGAAGCCTCCATGTTCTGTGAATTAAGCTATCCACTCCAGCTGCTCACACTGTAATGTTCCTTCATGATAAATCCTTTTATTTGGGACGTCCAACACACATTCCCAGCAAGTCAGGACCAAGACCTGAATATGGGTGCTCTCCATCAGCAGAGGAAACACCGTTTTGATGACAGTAGGTTTTCCACCCATTCAGTTTCCTGTTTCTGTAACAGCTGCAGGGAAAAGAAACAAACCCTAGATCATTCCTGCCTCTGCTTACCAATTCCCATACTCTTTTCAATGGCTGCAGTAGCTCTGCCCTCATGTCTCCAGAAGCTTTGGATGGCTGACTGGACAGATATTTTAAAATTTCTTCAGATCTCTACAATACACTCTTATTAGTTCACCTTTCTTAACACATCAATTAAGATGTCTGCATACTTTGCTCACGCTGATTCTTAAATGAAAAATCCTTAAAACTGTACAAACTGCTTTTGCTTGAGAAGAATGTGATAGGTAGAAGATTTCTGCTTGTCAAATTGAACAGTAAAATATGCTTAATGTTTCAAAATCCCAAATCCAAATAAGCAAAGCAATCAGAAACACCCATTTGGTTGCAAAGTCTTTAGATATTACAATGGGGTTCCATGAAAGCAGGAATGGAATCCCTCATTGCTGCACTAAGCAGACTGTTAGGTTACACAGTATGAAGATGATAGCATTTTTCTCTACGGAAAGCTAAAGTCCCTTTCAGTACTTCTCTATGTTAAGCTGTGGTGCAATATCCAAGTGCTTGTTCATCGTGAACAAGAAAATGTTGGGCTGAGATGCTTTATGTCAGAGCAGAATCTCTGTGGTAAGATCAGTCGTAGTAAGGGGGAACAATTGAAAAAGGCCGTTATCTCTTTTTCTTTTTTTTTTTTAAGATTTTAAAATTTGGATATAGCAAGAAAACACAGATAAGGTAAGAAGTGAAGAGTCTCACCAAGCAAGGTTTGTCTTCTCTCAGCAGTTCATGGAGCCAAGCCATAAAATAAGGAGAGGCAAAGTACTTCTGTGCCCCATGCTGCATGCCTGCATCTCAAATAGCAGATGCTCGGTTCCAAGATTTTTGTGTTATCAGCTGTGCTCCTAGGACTTTGCCAAAGAAAAGACGCAGATATTGTGCATCTTTTTCTGAAGCTGAACGGGGGAGCATCTAAGTTAGTAAACATATGAGGGCCAAGCAACAATCCATATAGCTGAAAAGGGAGCAGGCAGAAATTCTCTTGGGAGTTAGACATACCTCTACACCTCTCCATTCCTCACTAATGCCTTATAACAGCAGTGGTAAGTGGAAAAGCAGTTGCACTCTTCGGTCTCACGTAAAATATTTAGAGAGATATTGCTGACTAACCAGTGCTGCCTTTGGAAGCCTCCGTGTCCCCTCTTCTTCCTGTACGATACAGGACTCCTGCCCTGTGCAAATAACAGCGTTTGGGAGAGGGATACGCTGCCTACCCGGGAATGACTGAGTTTCCACACGCCTCCATCAGCTGCTCCTATCTGACCCCTCACGCCCTTCTTGCCTGAGGGAAAACGCCGGGGCAAGGCGACACCGAAGGCGGCCCTGGATGGCACCTGCCGTGGGGCGGCCGTGCCGCGGAGCAGCCGGTGCTGGCGGCGGCCGCTGGGACACCCCAGGCCGCCCAGGATTGCCTCCCCTGCGGGCAGAGCTGCGACCGAGCCCGGTCGCAACCCCTCCGAGCCAGCCCCAGGCCCGGCCAGCAGTGCGGGGGCGGTGCGGGGGCGGTGCGGGGATGCCGCCGGCGGCGCTGCAGCACGGAGAGGTCCGCGGGCAGCGGCAGCGGGAGGCAGGCGGCAGCTCCTCCTTCTCCTCCTCTTCCTTCTCCTCCCTCGGCGACGGGGTGGGCTCGGCCGCGGCAGCCGGTGTGCGCTGCCCTGCCGTGCCGCGCCGCGCCGCGCCGTGCCGTGCCGCGCCGTGCCGCCCCCCGTGTGCGATGGACTGGAAGGTGCTGACCAGGGAGCTCTCCCTCTACCTGGAGAGCCAGGTCCGCGTGGGGCTCTTCGGCTCCGGCGTGGGCTTGTCCCTGGTGCTGGGCTTCGGCGTCGCCTACGCCTGCTACTACCTCAACAGCATCGCCAAGGTGAGCGGGAGGGCGGCGGGGCGGGCGGGCTCCGCAGGTGTCCCGCCGAAGGGGAACCGTCCCGGGAAGGTCACCGCGACCCACCGCCCGTAGGGGAGCCGCCGGCGCCCTTCAGGCGAGGGGATCGGCATCTGAAATGGCTGGGGGGTAGGGTTCTGCGGCCACCTCGTCCTTACACCCACCGTCCATCCTCTGGAGGAGCCGCTTCGGGGTCCCGGCCGGCCGAAACCCCGCACGGCCCCGGCCAGTGCAGCCCCCCCCCGCCCGCCGGGGCTGCTTCCTCCGCGGGGGCCTCCGGTGACCCCCGGGACCACCGGCCTGAGGTGAGGTACAGCTCTTGTGGTCTGGGAGGATAAGGGGCTCTGGCCTCGTGCGTCCCCAAAATGCAGTTGTACCAGGGAGAGAGCTTGGCTGGATGCCATGGTTTGGAAAGGGAGGTCAGGAACCCTCCTTCCACAAAAAAACCTGACCTATTTGGTTTACTAGCAGGGCAGGTGATAAAGTAATTTTTCTGTCCCTGTACTGCCGTCGGTACCATCCTAAGTACCTCTAGAGCCACTATGGCAGCGTTTTGGGGGCTAGAGCACTCTTGTACATCTCCTCATCAGTAATGGTTTCATAGGTAAATTAGGCAATCGAAAATTACTTGGATACGGCGAGCCTGATCAGAGCTAAAGTGGCCCCGTGGTGAGAGCGCCTCGTTGAATGCTTAATCAGCTGAAAATACGCATATCAAAAGGTTTTTGACTGTTGAGGACCTGAGTATTGCCACAGTCCTTCAGAGAACACTGAGAACATAGCCTTCCTCTTCAATGAGAAGAGGATACTTGATTTTGGTCAGAGGAGAAAAAAAGAAGTGAGGATGTGACACTACTGCTCTTTATATGTAACGGTTTTCCTCAAAGTATCTGGTTTTGCCGTATGAATGCTTGTATGTTGGAGAGTCACTGTAAAATAGAAGTTTAAGAAATATGGTTGCTAAAACATAAGATGTTTGCTATACAGGGATTTTTCCACATTAATTGGTATACAAATGGAAGCTGTAAGGAAATTCTCTGCATGCAGAGCATTATCAGAGGTGAAGAACCGATGCAGTCTTGTACTGTAGTATGAGATAGAAGGAGGAGTGTCCTACCAGGTTAAAGTAGGTACTGCAGGTGCATGGTCAAAGTGCATGCATAAATTAAGCGTTATTTCTGTGCAGACCAAGAAAATGGACTTGGTAAAATTTTTCTCACTTACCGAGAGACGGTGGGGTTTTGATTTGTCAGTGAAGATACAATGCTGGTAAAAGTAGAGCTAGATCAGTATGTTATTAGAAATAGGTAAGGGGTCCATTATGTTTAGTGGGTTTCACTTTTCCGTTGGGCATCTTGGCATTTCATTTGATTTTCATTTACTTTTCTCTTTACCATGGAAGGAAAAAGCATTGCAAATGATTTTATGAAATAAATCAGTTCACTCAGAGAGGATTTAAACAATTTTTAATTTCTTTCTTTATTTGTTTTTTAGTTTATTTTAAATGAATGCCTATGCCTGACTGTAGTCTCTCTTCCTAGAAACCCCAGCTGGTGGCCAGCAATGACCGCTTCTGCCGCTTTCTCGAGGAATATTGCCCTGTTGTGACAGAAACTTACTATCCCACGATCTGGTGCTGGGAAGGTCGGGTACAGACACTCCTGCGCCCCTTTATCACATCTAGACCCCAAGTACAGTACAGGAAGTAAGTGCCCCCTTTTTTTTAAGCGATTGATTTGCTAGCCAGTTGTTACCTTACTCTGATCATGTCACGTCTACTGTCATTGCTCAAGTCTGTGCTTGTGTGTTTTGGCTTTACGCCCACCTTTACAACTCCATCATAGGCTTGAAACTATCTTCATCATGGATTCAATATGCAGTAGGTTTAAAAGGTCAGTGTTCCAAATGGCCCTATTTTAGCTCAGAGAGTTTTGGAGCACTGAAATATTAGTGACAATATAGAAACTGATGTGGTTATATGTTCATAGGATTATATAGTGGTTGAGGTCAGAAAAGACCTCCCCAGGTCACTTTGTCTGACTTCCCTGCTCAAGCAGGGTCACTCAGAGCCAGTTGCCCCAGACCACGTCCAGATGGTTTTTGGATTTCCCTGAGGATGGTGACTGCACAACATCCTTGGGCAGCCTGTACCACTGCTTAGTCACCTTCACATTGAAACTGTTTCCTGATGTTCAGAGGGAAGCTCCTGTGTTTCAGGTTGTTCCCACTGCTTCTTGTTCTGTCAGTGGGCAGCACAGAAAGGAGCATGGCTCCATCCTCCTTGCACCCTCCCTTCAGGTATGTAAACGCATTGCTAAGTTCACCCTGAGCCTTTTCTTCTCCAGGCTGAGCAGTCCCAGCTCTCCCAGCATTTTCTCATAGGAGATAGGCCCCAGTTCCTTCATCATCTTTGTGGCCCTTTGCTGGACTCTCCAGTATGTCCATGTCTTCCTTGTACTGGGGAGCCTGGAGCTGGACACAATTCTCCAGGTGTGGCCTCACCAGTGCTCCATAGAGGGGCAGGATCACCTCCCTTGACCTGGTGGCAAGACTCCTAAGCCTCCATAGCCTCCAGGCTGTTGGTCTTCTTTCCTGCAAGGGTACATTGCTGGCTCATGTTCAACATGGTGTCCACCAGGACCCCCAAGTCCTTTTCTGCTACGCTGTTTTCCAGATGGTCAGCCTCCACCCTGTACCAGTACACAGGTTGTTCCTTCCCAGATACAGAACTTTGCACTTCCCCTTATTGAATTTCATGAAGCTCCTGTCAATCCATTTCTGCAGCCTGTTGGGGTTTCTCTGGATGTCAGCAAATTATCTGGTGTATCAAATATTCTGGTGTTTGAATGCTGTAATTTTGCAAAGGTCACATAGTCACTGTATCTGTCCATTAAACCAACATATTCTACCTTAACCATAGCATGGCCACATTCAGCCTTGTTTTGAATATACAGAACTTCATGGATTTTTCAGAGTAACTTTTACCTGTGGGGTTTATGTTGTGTTCTTTGATGCCTAAATTCTAAGAGGGAAAAAACCCCTTGTATTTATTGTTTGCCCTCAGCTGATCTCTCTCACAGAGAAATGAGAGTTAGCCTGGCAAATGAGGCATTTGGCACAAGACCTAAGGAGAAGTACTTTTATGCGCCGGAACCTGGATGCAACACAAGTTGTTTCAGCTCTGCTTGCATGGTAGAATAGATTTAGCATTTAGCAGCTTCCCTCAGTTTTAGTAATTAGGGAACATTTCAGTGGCATGGCCATGTCCACTTTTTCTAGCCCTTCTTACATATTTCTATTTCAAGGTATGTGAGGGAAGAAATAATTCCATGGGGCAATGCTTATTTTGCACATTTGAGATTGTGTTGGCAGTACACACCAGCATTTCATCTACTTCCTATTACCGAAAAAGGGTAAAGCTGAGCTAGAATCCAACAAGGGTGATTGCCTTTAAAATCTGGAGTAGTTGCTACCAAGACTTTAAAATGAAAAATCAGTTGCAAGGTAGGCATACATTTTGGTAGTTGCTACACCAGCTCTCTCGAACAGTGTCTTCATTGCTAGGAAGAGCGAAGATGCTGTATGTTTCTAAAAAAGAAAAAAAGGAATGAAACCTTTTTGTCATTGTTTAGTGCATGCTTAGCTTCTTGAGATATTATAATATTTGTTGCATTGTTAAGATATATGGTTTAAAAGAGCATTCTAGCAAAGTTTGTGGAGATACAGGGTGGAAGATACAGTAGTGTATGTCTGTGTTCCACATGTTTAAAACATAACAAAGTGCCATCCATTATATATTCTGCTTCTTTGGATAAAGAGGAAAAAAATGTGATAAATGTTTATCACATTGTCCAATGTGCTATCAAAAGATTCTCAGATGATCCAAAGGAAATCTGCAGTACACAAGCCTATATAAAACAGAAGGCAGTGCCAAAAATCACATTAGTAACAGGCTTCCAGTACATTGGCAGCAATTTGTAAAAGGCCAGCTCTTCATTTACTGTGAACAGGAATTACTCCACAAATTGACTGTTCTAACTCTAGTCAGCTGTAGGTGTGACTCTTTCTGCATGGTAAACATGCAGACATGTGGCACTTTGAGTATTAAAACATAATGAAAAATGCAGAATTCACACCTGGTAATTTGTACACTGCAAGCACTCTTAATAGCGTGTATGTATTTTTCAATCTAATCAGTGTTGTCTTGAAATGTGCCTTTCAGTGAGCTCATTAAAACAGCAGATGGAGGACAGATTTCATTGGATTGGTTTGATAATAATGACAGCTTATATTATCCGGATGCCAGCACAAGACCCACCGTCCTGTTATTGCCTGGCCTGACAGGAACGAGCAAGGAATCCTACATTCTTCATATGATCCATCAAAGCGAAACACTGGGATATAGGTGCTGTTGTATTTCATTGCTAGTATTTTGCTGCTTCTAATAGGATCAAATATAATTATGTATGTGTATAAGATACCTTCTAAAGGCAAATGAGATCTAAATACATTAGTTTGTGTAAGGAAGTGTTATTAGTAATAATAATCACAGTGGAATTATGTAACAGGCAGTACATTTGGAAGGGCTGTTTTAGTATCTACAGATGTGCCTGAGAGATTGCAGTGAAAGTAAGCTAAATCTGCATAGGGCTTTCACTGCTGCTTCTTAAATTATGATATCAGCATTTGTGTTAACCTTTACACTTTCTAGAGAAGGAGTTTGTATTCAGCTCCAAGAAAACTTGTATGGATGGGTTGCTATCAGTAGGCCTTGGAGGAGGTCAGCTTCTGAATGCCAAAATTGCTTGATTCAGCAGCCTCAAATTCCTGCATGTAGAAAGGAGAGCTAGCCTGCTCTTACTGTTGGTGTTTAAGGAGGAGGTCTGTCACTTCTTAATTGTCACAGTGTAATATAATTTTGTTCTTGAGGCTTCTGGTCAGAGTTGGGTAAAATAAGTGAATTAGTCGATGAGTAGACTCCTTTATGTAATCATATTGCTGCCGCTGCTGCACGTCAAAATAAGTTATCATTGTTCCAGAACCTGTATTTGGAATATTACATTTTGTCTTTGCAGATTGGCTTCTGGTACTGAGTATAATAAGTTCTTCAGATATGTACATATGAGGTTTTATCTACATGTCTGACTGTCTCTTCTCTGTTTGGATAACTGCTTTACTAAATTATAAAAGTAAAGTAGCACTTTGACTGTTCAAAGTACTTTTAAAATCACTTTAAAACTTAGCAGTAAAAGACATCGGAGGTAGCCCTGAAATCAACAACTTGTTACTATTAAGTTTTAAAGTATTCCTGAGAGTAATATCTGCATTTGATCACCTAAGAAAAGAAGGTATAGCATTAAAAAGGAGAGCTTTAGGTCAGATTTCAAGAGAATACTATAATTTTATTTTTAATCAGCAACATTTGAGAAAAATACCAAAATAAGTATTTTTTCATGCCTTTAACTCATCTAAAATATGTATATATTGTTTAACAACATTATTACAGCGAGATGGTGCTAGAGTAATAGAAAAGAAAGATTTATTAAGAAAGTATAGATCCTTAAATCATGGTAATACTGCCAGAAGATTCAGAGACTCCCACCAACATGGAGAGAACAGAAACTTATGCTGTACCAGACAAAAAAAATCCCCAAGAACCTGCAACTTGATGCAGCTCTCAGTATAATTTTGATTTGGCTCATTTCTTGCAATTTAATACAATTATGTAGCTGTGGAGGATGTCTGCACACGGATATCTGACATTCTTTTTCAGAGCACAGCTTTAGGCTCAGCCCTGCAGTGGCAGAGCCCATGGCAGAGTGCAGGCAGGACATGTCTGTACCATCTTCAGGTAAACCCTGGGGTTCTCACCCTGCAATTTGACCTTGACCAGCAAATCAAGGGGCTCATATAGAGTCCCACTGACCTAAGTGAATTCAATTTTGGTATAAAGCTTGTTCTACACAGGTCAGGCTCTAGGATCTGTAGGTCTTTAAATGTTTATGTGCTGAACTTATTCATAGAACTGGCTCATTTTTCTTTATGCATTTTCATTTTTTGTGTGTTTAAGTTATCTTTTTAATGAAATAAACAATATGTATAATTGAATTTACTGTCTCAATTTTTAGATGCGTGGTTTTTAACAACCGGGGAATTGCTGGTGAGGATCTTTTGGTAAGGATGACTTCTGAGATAAACATCTCTCACTTAAAAGTGGTATATATGGAATCATTTCTGTCTATTTGTACAGCTGGATTTAAATGAGAGAAACTCACAGCATGTGTTGAAAATCCAGAGAAGAGAATCTAGCCATCTGGTAGATCAATTGTGCCAATATTCATCTTTTATTTTAAAACTCTAAGAGGTCAACTGGTCAACACACAATTTTTCCGAGCGTTTCATTTTATGAAATATTTTCAGTTACTAATATCTGTAACATTAAAATGAACAATCTTTATGTTTTTTCTTTCAGAAAATACTGCAGTATATTTTACCATATAAATCCAAATATAAACAATTGTAATTACTTTCCCAGTTGCCAACATGAGTTTAAAATAGATTTTGATATGGTAAAAAAGTCCTGCCATTAAAATGAATCCATATTGTGTGTGAGTGAATTAATGAACCAGATTTATATGGATAGCCATATCCTTAAAGTTAAATGTGTTCTTGTATTTTTCTCAGCAATTCTGACACAAACTCAGCTACAGAAGACAAATTTTTGTCTTTGGGACAGACATACTATGTTTGCTCAGAAATAACTGGCCATTCCTCAGACGAAAAAGTCTTGAAGCTAAACATTTTCTGCAGCAAGGGACAAGGCATGATGAAATATTGCTGAATAAGCTTTGTTTCTTCATATGCGATTTGTTGACAGTTCTGCAGCTGGAATGAATGTGCATAATACTTGGTATTGTTTTGCATTTTTTAATCCCCTAGTTTCAAACTTTAAAAAGCTCAGAATGTTTTCCCATAATCAGATAAAGCATTTCAATGCAAACATTGCCATGTTAAGAGTAGTTTTCTGCATACTTTTGCAGATGGATCTACAAAGCAGTTTTGTGACACACAAAGTCCTTATTGATGAATTTCTGAATCATTAAGAGAAAAGATCTCTTGTTTGGATGCATTGTGTGTATTTTACTGTAATCGGATTTACATCTTTAAGCTTTATAAGGTCTTGCAGTGAAGCAAACCAGCTGAAATTATCACATTTTCTGCAAAGGGGTTTCTACATTTTAATATAAAATCCCTAGTTAATGAGTTTGCAGCACGGTTGAGCACCACAATAGAAATTAGTTATGTAAACAGTTCTTTTTCTAGTGTCTTTAAAGATCAATTCAAACTTATACCAAATAATAGTTACTTAAAGAATGCTGTTCTCATTGGTTATTGAAAGTTACTGTGAATTATTGTTATGGAATAATCAAGTATTAGATTGCTCACAGCCAGTGTAAGCTAAGATGGTGTTTTAAAATATCTTCATACAATGAGTAGAGAGAGAAAGATGTTAAATTGTCAGGAATTTACTGAAGTTAAAGTGCAAGAGATCTCTCTAGTACTATAAACTTTTAATCAAATACACTTTCACTTAGAATACATTAGACCCTAGTTGCCAAAAATAATTTATTTTTCCATGTAAACTTGACAATTTAATTAAAATAAAACCTATTCACACTGTTTATAATTAATAGGGTGTAAAACAGTGAAGATTGATTCACGTGGATGAGAACTGGCAATGCAATATAAACGGAAATTAAAAATTTCTTCAGTTTTAATTATCCAAATTTAGCTTTGCTTTCAATTTTTTTGATCTTTGATTTCAACATCTCAATATTTTTGATAAATGTATTTTAAGTAATTAGTTTCATCTCATTAAACTTTTTATAATCACCCACAAATATCCTGGCTGTTTAACTGAAAACAATTTTAAAAACTAGCCTTGAAATACATTTTTGCTTCAGGCAACAAATAAGTTCCATTAATTCATAATTATGTATTTTTATACTTCGTTTTAATGTTTATACTGAAGTTTGGCAGGTCAGTTACTGCCGATAGTTAAATCAATATCACTAACATGTTACTAACAACTCTTAAGTTAAAAGCTTTCTTTTGCCGTAGATGAAATCTGGACAACACTGTTAGAAAAAAACTTGTTTTACTGTGATTCTTATTGCAGCTAAATGGACTTGTCTCCCCTGTACTGCTCCAGATAGTCCCTCAGACTGTGGCCTGTTCCAGATGTCTGTGCAGATAAGGCTAAAAAGCTGTGCTTATCCTTCAGTAGCAGGGAAGGGGTTACGCAAATATTACTGATGCCAGTGGAAGCCATTCCTAGTCTCAGTTCAGGATTTAAAGAGTCGCTAATGATAGACAAAAAAGGGATAATATATGTGTTTCATTACTTTAGTTAATAGGATATTTTACTAAATTAGGTAAATGTCACACGGGAATTTATTTATCTATTTATTTGGTTGTATTGTATGTAGAATCTAAATATTGGTTACTTTTCAAATGCTGGCTGTCAGAACTTGAAATCTAATATTTTCTTTTGCATTTGGATGTGGGTGAAGATGGTAAAATTGTCATTATAACTTCTTTTTCTGTAAATCACAGCCTTTATGATATGTTTCCATTTCCTCAGGGTATTTTAAAAATATCAGTGCCTATCTAGTTCTGATCTAGTTCTATCTAGTTTAGCTCACTGCTCTCTGTTCAAATTTCAACTAATGACCTGGAGGTTGCAGATGCTGAAGATATCTGTCATCTCTTTTATTTTGTAATGATAACATGTATAACTTTTTGTCAATCTACTCGTGAAACACTCTGGGTTTGTATTTGCCACTTAGCAAAGCTTCATGATAAATGCTAAATTTATCTTGTTATATAAATGATCCACTGTTCAGTTTGCTTTGCCCTTAAAGGATAATACAAAAGCTTATGATGGCATTTTTTTCCCTCTTGACTCCTTATAGACACCAAGGACTTACTGTGCAGCTAACACAGAGGATTTAGAGGCCGTTATTCATCATGTACACAGCTTGCACCCCTCGGCTCCGTTCATGGCAGCAGGTGTTTCTATGGGAGGGTAAGGTTATGTAACACAAGTCTCAGCTTAACTGTGGTTGTAAAATAAGACTGTTGTAGCCTTTTAAATTATTCCTCTGCAATACTTGCATTACTTACTGAACTGCAGCTAACTTGGGTCTGCCTCCAACAGTCAATATGCAGAAGACTTTCAGAAAGTTCTTCATGTCTTTGAGCCTTTCAGCTCTGTATCAGGGAAGGTCAAAATCAGCCAACATTCAGAAGTTAGAGGAGGGTGGAGAAAGACAGGAAACAATGGCAGAGAGATTGACAGCCAAATAGGTAGGCAGTACAATCTTTGGAAACTATGGAGGCTGTCTTTGGAACAGAGGGAAGAAAAATAGGAACTAGAGCTAATATACCATGTTTCATAGCAACCTATGAAATGGCAAGATTTGTCTTCACTCTGTTTGGGTTCTGCAGTGTGTGGGTAGATTAGGCTGGAAGAGGTGTGGGTATCTGCTCTGTCTGGCTCAGAAGCAAGTAGTAGTATTGTTATTGAAACCAGTATGGGTTGATAGAGCATGTGGTATTAAGACTTGCTGTGTCCTGGCTGCTGTCCAGAAAGCACAGCTAGAACAGACAATGATAGCACAGTTCCTTAGAAAAAAAATCACTGCTAGAATCTAGAAGAAATGTTCAGGCAGCCTATTTAACAGAAATCATAGCAGAAGAGAATTTTCATTATAAATACTACAGACACAGTGGTAAAGTCCTGAGACTTCCCACTCTCTGATAAATTTTATGGAGGGTGGGCAGATATGGCCCTGTATATTGACATTAATCTACTAATGACTTGTAGGAGCTTTGGGATAAATAAATGTTTGTTCAAGCAATATAGTTATTGATAACTAAATAATTAACTTGGAAGCTTTTTAAATGAGGCCAATCCTTTTCCATTCATGTTACAAGGATTTTGCAAATGTCTTCAGTATGAAGACATAAATTTCTCCAGTATGTGAGTATCTTATCTTGCTGGGAAGCCCAAAATTTGGCACAGTACTCCAAATACAATCTCATAAGTGTCAAATACAGGAAAGTAATAATTTCCTTAGACCTGCTTGTTGTGTTCTTACTGACAAAGCACAGCATATCATTAGTTGTCTTCATTGCTGCAAGAATGCATTGTTCTATTTGCCCAGGTCTTTTTCAACTGCTCTCTGTCCTGTCATTAGTCTTACTTAGTTGCTGGACTTTGATTTTACCTGTGTTGAGCTTCATGAAGTTTCTGCCAACTCATTCTGCCTGTTGAGGTCCCTCAATGTCAGTGTTGTCTTCCAGTTCAGCAGCCATTTCCCACAGTTTGACCTGCAAGCTTCCTAAGGGTTCATTCCATCTCATCATCCAGTTAGTGAAGACTTACTTACACAGTATGGGCCCCATTACTGCCCCCTGAGGAACACTACTAGTATCTGGACCAACCACTCCTGTTGCACTTCAAGTTCCTGATCACAACTCCCAGAGCTGACTAGTGGTCTAGTGGTCTAGTCAGTTTTCCATGCATGTTGCAGGTCACCTATTCAAACCATGCTCCTCCAATTTGACTATATGGAGACCATGGAGACTGTCAAAAGACTTGCTGAAGTCAAAATAAGCAACATCCACTCCTTTCCCCTAATCAACAAATGATAAGTGAGCTCGTCATAGAAGGCAATCAGGTTGCTCAGGCATGCTTTGCCCTTGATAAATCCATACTGGCTGTTACTAGTCAGCTTCTTTACCTTTACATGCTTAGAAATGGCTTCCAGAGGATATTCCCAAAGGGCTGTGGTTAGGCATTCCAGCCTGTATTTCCTCCTCCTTGCAGTTCTTGTAGATGGGTGCCTCTTTTTTCCAGGCATGAGAAATATTCAACAATTGCCGCAACCTTTCAAAAGTGATAGACAGCAGACTCATGATGACATTGGCTATCTCCTTCAGGAGCTTTGGTGCACTTCAACTGGTCCCATTGGCATGTCTATGCCAGGTTTGCATAACTGGGCCCTAATTTGGGCCCTAACTTGATCTTCTGCTGCCATTCTCCCATACTCTGCCACTAGGCACAGCGACTCGGTAGGCCTGAGAACTGAGCTCAGCAGTAAAGACAGGGAAGACAGGTAGCCACTCCTTTTTTACAAATCTTTAGTCAATATGTTCCCTGCTCCATTGAGTAGTGATCCCAGGAAGGACAAAAGGCTGGTCAGCCTAACTTCAGTTCTTTGGAAAGATCCTCTGGAAGCCATCTGCAAGCACATGAAAGATAAGAAGGTGACTGCATTCATCAAGGACAAAGCATGCCCAGGTGATTTGATTGCCTTCTATGATGAAATGACTGGCTTCAGTGATGAGGAGAAAGAAAAGGATGCTGTTTGTTCTGAGTCTTTTTTGTATCAAAAGATTTAGAGAAGCCTTTCTTGTTGCAGAAACCTTTCTCTTGTAGTCCAGCATATCCCTTGCTTGTGGAGGCTGAAGAGTGGGACTCGATGATCCTTGTGGGTCTCTTCCAGCTCAGTACATCCTGTGATTCTGTGATAATCTGTACAGGACAGATTTGTCCAGTTAAGAATTAAAATAAACATTCACTTCACAGACACATAAATGTAAATTAAAGGCCACTTGTTCTATTGATCTTCAATATGAATTGTTTTGGAAAGGGACTTTATTTTCTAACATAAAGATTCCTAAACCTTCTCCCTATGACATACACTTTGTGCACTCTGTTAGAGAAGTGGATTCTTCTACTACTGCAACTTTTTTTTAATTGGTTTATTGGACTGCTGTCTTATGATCTGCTAGGTAGTGCACAGGGACAAAGTCTCTGTGGTAGCAGACTGGTTCATGATGTCTTTGCTAAAGGTTGCTGTCTTCTGAAGTACAGAAGATGAAGCCAAGGTACAGAGTGTTGGTGGTCCAGGGAGCTATATTTACAGTTGACTGTAATGCTTTGTGTTAAGGGCTTGGTATTAGAATTGTGGTTGTAAACTTTGATGTCTCAGGCAGTAAAGACAGACAGCTTTTCTGTTAGTACTTTTCTTTTACACTTTCCTGCTATTTTATTTTTTTCTACATTTGAAGGGTCAGATACTTGTGAACTATCCCCTTTTTCAACGTAAGTATACATTAGCAGTTTGGGGACCCCTGGTGGCCTAGTGGTTAGCATGCAGGACTCTCACTGCTGCGACCACAGGTTCGAATCCCAAGTCCCCCGGGCAGATGGTAGCTCGTTAGCCCTGTGAGGCCATCCATCTATGAGAAGGTCACTCTAAACAAACCTACGTCCTGAGGACCTCACTGCCATTGTCCAAGCTTGCTTGGCCCCGGCAGATGAACCTTAGGATTAAAGGGTGGGCTCAGTTCAGCGCAGGCTGTGTCTCACCTAAAAAATCCATTGCGCAGGCTGGAAAGGTAAAAGACCTTTCCCCAAATCTTCGTTCGCGAAGATGGGCCATTATATTATTTACATTAGCAGTAGAGACTGTAAGTTGCAATTGGTCAGAAAAACAAGACCCAAGTCATTTATTTGGCTCGTAAGTTTGTTTCTCTAGTTTTATTCGTTGTCCAACACTTCATTCTTTACATACTGTGCGTTATAAAACAACTGTGTTCTCTCATATGTGTGAGGTGGGGTAATGGCACTACCTTCAACTCAAGAGACTTCTTCCTAGTGAGACAGGCATGCCAGGGGCAGCTTGCATTTTTCAGGCACGTTTATCAGATTTAACACATCAGGAAGACCAAGGTCTTTTAAGATGGTAAAACTTACTAACAACTTGAGAATACCTGTTCCATGAGTAAGAGTCATTTGTTTGACCTTTTCATCCCTTTAGTGATATAAATGAGACTAGTACACCTTTATTTCTAAATGCATTCCTACCTACACCCTACACAGTGCACTAGTCTCCTCTCTGAGGAAAGTAAACTTCATGAGTCATGTGTTGATTACACAGACTACCTTTTAGCTGTATTAGGCACAACTTTAGGGCTGATACAAGAAACTATTGAAAAACAGACAAAAAGGTGTCTGACTTATATTTACTCTAAATTGAAGCAAACAATTTGATAGTATATATGTTTCTGTTTTTCATTTCTGTTTGTAGCATGCTTCTTTTAAATTACCTGGGCAAAACTGGCAGAGACACTCCTTTAATGGCAGCTGCAATTTTCTCTGCGGGTTGGAATGTTTTTGAATCTGTAGAATCTCTGGAGAAGCCACTAAACTGGCTTCTTTTCAACTATTACTTGACCACTTGTCTACAGTCCTCTATCAGCAGGTGAGTTGCCTTCTGAACTACTTCGAAAAGTGGAAGGATGTTAGTATGAGATCTACAGCACGTCTAATAATCTTGGCAAAATTAATGCTGTAACAACACTTTGCATAACCGTTCTGTGTGCATTCTTTGGTAAGTTTTGAAATCAAAAGGACCTTTGCAAGAAAGATTGTCATCAATGCAGCTAAATTTATCTGCTTCTCAAGGGGCTCAGCACAAGCACAATGTACTTCTGTATTTATAGATGAAGTAAATGGATTTTTTAAATTTTTAGAATGCACATATTGACTTAGGAGTATATATATGTATATATACTAATTCTTTCAAGTCAGTGTTGACTGCAAAAGCACAGAAGGGGCTAGTTCATCTTTTGCTTTATAAAACTAGGGTGTATTTTGTGTTCTCAAATATTAAGTTCTCTTATCTATGGCATTTTTCTCATGGCTTATGCAGATTTTTACTATGTTGCTAGATGTGCCTGCATCTGAATGAATAATTCTTCTGCTCTTGGATTCCTGACAGATTTTTATTATGATAGAAAATTAAAAACAAGCATGTTCTTGTTAGAAAGTTACTTCTATAATGTATCTGAAAAGCAGAGGACTTCTACATCTGTTAATACAACAAAACACAAGCCCTCTGATTTTTCTCTCCTTCTTTTTAGGCATCGACAAATGTTGGAGAAATTATTTGATATGGATCTTGTGATGAAGGTATGTGAGAATGTTACTTCTGCTTTAGCTGGATGCTGTTTTCCAAATGCTGACATAGTTCCCTATTTGAATTCTGTACTTCAGGCTAGAACTGTTAGAGAATTTGATAAGCAGTTCACTTCAGTCATGTTTGGCTACCGTTCAATTGATGATTACTATGAAGATGCTAGTCCATGTCGCAAGCTGAAGTCAGTAGGAATTCCAGTGTTATGTCTAAACTCTGTGGATGATGTTTTCTCACCAGGTCATGGTAAGTTTAGGCTTTTTAAAATATATTTATCTGTATATGCAGTCATTAAGACAAACTACATAGGTTTGAGAATGAACTCAGACCTATATGTAGAGGTCTATTTAAATGTTACTTGTACATAGGATCAAAACTTCCACGGATTTGCAGTTTACCTAAGGTGTAAGACACATATAAAACAGCTGATGATGGAGAGACCTGATTAGTACAGAATGCAAAAGTATATGGGGTGGTCTCATTAACCATTAATGGAATCTTTACTGTCAAAAGAAAGATATATGCATATTTAGGGTGTGAGTTATCTCACTATAAGGAAGATATCAGATGTAGTACCCTCTCAGAAGCATCCATTTCTATTCATCAAGTACAAAGAGAACCTAGAAAAAGGAACTCAGATTCAGGTGTCTGGATTGTAGACATTAAGAGTTCCATGCAAGTGAAAACAATTTTTTTTTATTATTGCTATTTTTTAATCAGTCCCTACAAAGAATATCTGGGAGTGGCTTATGTTTCAGATGACATGAAATTCTCAGCTGTTGTTCACAGTGCCACCTCCAGTGCCTGAAAATTAAAAGTAAGAAAAAATCTAAGTTAGCATGTAGGCCAAAATCTAGGGTAAGGGAAGAGATATACACAAAGTGAGCTCCTAGGAGGAGGCCCATTGAAATTAATAGGAACCTAACTAGAAGATGAAACAGCAATATTAGCTAAATAACTGGCTGAAAACTCTGTTTTCCATTTGCCTTCTATTTTCTGCCAAACACATGATCATTATGAACATTTTGCTTTTGCTCTATAAATCAAAACCCTGTTGCTACCTATCCTAAAAAGATATGTTAGTTCCTGCAGTTTGTGTATTGGTTATAGTGTCTGAGAAGAGAGGTAGAACAAAAACTAATATAGAGGAAAACCACTAAAATGAACAGCTGGTTGAGGCAACAGTCTTCAGCAGTGAATACCTAACATCTTTAGAACTTAGTTAAGGCACTTTATTTATTTCAGGGAAATTTTCTTCTGCCACCACAAGTGAAGTGAGATTCTTGCAGAATGAGTCATGAAACCAATGTAAGCAGGCAAACATATTAGAACAAGCGGAGAATGAAGGAATTGGAAGAGACTGTGTGTTGTACTGTTTTATCTGCGTGCAGATGTACAACATATACAGAAACATGCACACGCGTTACTGTTTATAGTTCAAAGATCTGTTAGAGACAAATGTGATATGAAGAGAAAAAGACCACTCCAGTAGTGTGCACTAGAAAAAGACAGTCTTATTTCTTCTCCTCTTGAATATAAAGAGGTGACAGCCATCTAATATGAAGGAAAAAATGGTGACTCTGGATTACTCAAACTACCTATCCCTTACATTGGCCGAAACAGAGGCTTAAAAACCAGTAAGATCTGAGTCTACACAGCAATATTGTTCCAGAATACTACATACACCTTTAACAATTTCTGGTTCAAGGATTTGCTGAGACATAGTTAGTCCCTTTGTATTTACAAGCCTCTGTGGTTTATTTTTTTTTATCTTGAAATTCTCTTATAAGCTTGTAATGGCCTAGAAATAAGAATGGATGGGTCATGACCCTAAAATCTATGTCCAGATATAAAATGTGACTAATGACTCTGAAGATAATATTTTATGGGTCCTATGACCCTGGGGATGACTTTCCTCATCATACTGCAAGGTGGGTGATCTGCTGTGCCTTGTTTCTTTCATGAAGTATCTGAGAGAGGGAACAATGGATTCACCTCTATGCTTAGCTCTAACTTAGTTTGTGGTTTGTGTCCTGCAGTGAAGGAGTAACTGTGGCAGGAGTAAGCTACCTAGTTAGCATGGTAACAACAGCAGTGAACCAGACAGTGTGCCTCTGTCCCTTTTCCAGCCTATTATCACTGAGACTGGGACATTTGTTAGCTAGATGAAAGCTAGTGCAGATACTCCATCCCCTTTTAATTTTAGAATGCAACCTCCAGCTCTTGAGATCCAAGTATTGATCCGATCCCATGAAACTCAATCTGAACACTAGAAAACACTTTTTTTTACTGTGAGAGTGGTCAAATAGAGAGGCATAGAGAGGTTGTGGGATCTCCATCTATGGAGACAGTCAAAACCTCACTGGACACAGCCCTGGGAAACCTGCTCTAGGTAACCCTGCTTGAGCAGGGGTGTTGGACTAGATGTCCTCAAAGAAGTCTCCTACAGCCTCAAAAGTTCTGCAACTGTGTAGTTTGACTAGTCAAAAGATGAGTGCCCTAAAGTACAGCTGTAGCAGATCTTTCCACCCTTGAAGCTGTTTTTAAAAGTAACACAACTCTTGGTGAACAGTGGGATGGTTGCTTGTGTAAGATTAGTATCAAACCTTTTATGAGAATGCCTTAGAAGTCTTGCAGTGTAGAGGGGGGTAAGGTAGAGCGCCTGCACTTCTGAAACAAGAAGTGTTAGAATCTGTTCTAATGACTGTCCATCTTCACCTAAACTCTGACCCTAAGCAGCCTTTCTCCCTGAAAATATTTGTGTTGTTAACCATTCATTTGTTCCTTGTTCACAGACTTAATGCTGTTAGCCGTAACCCTTTGTCCTTGTGGTGACTAGTTTCCCTTAGAAAGGGCCACCAGGGCAATGTTGATTTACAGCTAATAGTACTTCTATGTATCCATCTTGGGCTCCTTTTTTGTTTGTGCTGGGCACCCTCAATGTGAATCCTTGCACTGGCAGGAGAGACAGAGCATCCTGATTAGCAGCCTAGGGTTTATATCTCCTGCCATTAGTTACTGGAGTTCATTCATCTTCACACTTCTGTGAGCTGTTTTATGTTAGCAAACATAAAGGGCTGGTGTTACTCTTGGAGGAGACTTTATTCTGGCAATGGGCTTGTTTTTTTCTGACTTAAAAATGTGTGGACACATGTAAGCCTGTGACAATCAGAGGCAGTTTCCACTCACAACTGCATAATGGATTCAAAGCCACAAAATTCATTCTCATCCAGACCCCAACCTTTTACTGACTTTGGGAACTGGTTATTTCATGCCTCATCTCTCCCAGTAATACCTACCAGCTTTTAAGCTACCTTCCACCTCTGTTGTAGATAGCTGTAGTTTCCAAGAGCTGGGAAACAGGCCTAGAAAACTCATCAGGGAGAAAGCCGTGCCAGAATTCCTTTGTGTTTAAATAGTCTCCATAAAGCCAGACACATCTATCTTCCTGTAACAGAGCTTGAGGGATACAAAACCAAGTCACTACACAATGTAGACCTAAAGTTCCCTTAACAGAGGCAGAGGCTGCCTCTGTTGCTTCTTACAACCTGATCATTTCTTCTCATGTACTTTTTGGTACACTTTGTACTTCCCAGCAGTTATTTTTAAATATATTGTGAAAATGTGCCATTTGATCTCAATCCAGTATTAGGAAGAAACAATTAATTTGCATTATTAATAAACATTAATTTCCTTAATGTTGCTGTTTAAAGTTCATAGAGCTTGGCAGCTGATGTATCTGTAGTTTTAATTCTGGAATGCAGTTCTCATATTGCATAATACTAACTAATAAAAACAAATGCTTTCTTCATTGCATGACACTTCTCTCACTATAACTAATTTAAACAAGCCATTGTTTCAGGAAATATGAAATAAAACCAAGTCAAGCCCTTTTATTTTGTAAATGTGAAAAATAAATCAGGAAGATGGAACAATAGCATTCATTATCAGTGTCACCGAAGTGGCATTTTTCTCCTCAGAGACTTTAGGCAGCATATTAGGCATCTGACTTAAATTTCACTATACTAATGCTTAGCTAATTGCTGGTAGTGAGCATTGTGCCTGAGCTGGAAGCCTGCCCTTGAAGCTAGGTACCATGCCAGCTCCCTCCTGATCCACTGTGACAAATAAGTGCATGTCTGAAGCTCAGTTGTACATTTTATTGAACTCTCTGAACCTTTTCTGTTCCACTGAATCCAAACTTGAAGTAATTGCTCTTAGGTGTTATTTTGCATTCTGTTATGTAAACAGCATATTTTAATGAATTTGTTGGGAGAGACGAAATGGCCAAGGAATGGCAGACAGATAACAATTAGGGTAAAAGTTTAAGGAATAGAGAGAAATCAACCAAAAAATGGAGTGTTTGACAGCAGTGACTTATTTAAGCTTCACATGTATGTTTTTCTTTTGTTCTTTTTAAAAAAATACTTTTTTGGGGACAAAGAATGTACAACAAATTTGTTTTGAATTAAGTAATTTTTCATATATGTATTTACATTAACAGACCTGGTACTGCTGGATCAAAGAGCAGTACAAATTTTGGCCAGTAGAAACTGAAGTACAAGGTTACATGCTGACAATAATGAACAGTGGTATCTTTTGGCATGCCATCCTATATCCTAGAGTGCATCACACCCAGTGCTCCGTTCTGCCCTTTACATTGCAGAATTTGCTCTGTTGCACTGTGTTTTTATTTATTGGATGGCTAACAGTCCCTAGAAGCAGCCTTAAGGGAAGTACCACACCACTGCCAAGCATCATTTGCATTTTGGCACTGGAGAGCAACACAGCATATTCAGTTCTCTCCTGAGAAGCTGCAGAGCAAGAAATACTGCTGGGGAGAAGTTACACAGATGAATAGGGACAACTTCAGGATGGGGAAGATGACATTCGTGAAGACCTGTGTGTAGCTTGCACCTTACATGGCACACAACATAACTAGCAGCCTAGTGCAGGATTGGTAGGCTTCTAGGAAAGAGCTGCTGTAGCTGTTTGGAGGCAGGCACCCCATGGCACCCCCTGCAGTACTGCCAAGCAGTTTAGGAATGAATAACCACCAGCAAACCAATTTGGGAGGTATGATTATGCTGGCAACCTCTGAATGACAGATATGCAGAGGTCACAGTGAGCTTTGCCTGTAAGGGGTTTCCCAGCTGAGTTGGCACAACAGAGGAGATATTTATTATCATCTCCCTTCCAATCCCCTAGCAAAGCAGTTTCTTACTAGGAAAGGATGTTTCTCTCTACACTTTTGACACTAGTCTGCCAAAATGAGTGTTTGTCATGTCTTTGCACAGTCTTAGCCAGTGAAGAGGTGTATTCAGACCAGTAAGCAGTTGATCCTGAATCCATTAGGACCAATGGAGTTCTCTGATTACTGGAGGTCAAGTCTGTCCCTCCTCAGACATTCCTCCCCATACCCTTGCACAGGAGCCTATTTATTAGTCCCCTCAGTGATCAGGGAAACAGCTGCAGAATGATTGTGGAAAGTTTGATTCATTGCCTGAAGCAGGATTGGGGTTTGTGTCTGATCCCCACTTCTCTGTTGGGATTCTGTTTAACATGGCCCACACGCTACTGGAGGGAAGAGGAGCAGATGGCTTGGTACAGATAAGTGGGCAAATTCCTATGAAGTCGGCAGAAGCTGACATGAATTGCAGCCACTCTCTTTGTGCATGGCAATGTGCTCATCCACAGAATCCAAGAAAGGCAGATCAGAGATTGCTTAGCAGATTAACTCAGGCAAAACTCCAGATGAGCACTTGCTGAGTCTGAAAATGATGCATGTGTGGGATTGCAAGAAATAATACACTGTTTTCTGCATCTCTTGTTTTCAGCCCATGCTATTTCTCAGCCTAGGCTTTTACTTCATTGACTTATTTTTAGTCTTGCCTCAGCACTGCTTTCAAAGACTGAGGTACTGTATACAGTATTTCCAGTTTTCCAGCTGAACAAAGGAAAAGCCAAGGACTTCTTGTAGAGACAGTAAGAAGTGTGGCTCCTTCCACATACTAAAGAATCAGAATCACTTAGTAAATGCTGGAATCTATAAAATGCACACAATTTTGAAAGGAGGGACAGAGTGGAAGAAATGGATAGCACTGATTAGCAAAGAACCTCACGTATTCCACAAGGGAATCTCCATTGCTCTCTGGAGCCCAGTCTGTGCTCCACCAGGCCACAGCCACGTACCTTATATTATGGGCAGGAACCTTGTTACACACATTCATAAAAGACACTAACCCTGCTACGCAGGCAGTTGGTTTAGCATTCATGCCGAGGCCCTGGAGTGGAACAGAACATGTCATTCCAGGCACTGCTAGTAAGGACCTCTGAGGCACAGACCGCTCCCCTGACTCTACAGGTCCAGTGCTTCTGCCCTGATCTATTTTAAGTTGCACAGCTGTTCACCACACTCACTGCACTCAAGTTCTTGTGTGACTTATTCTGGCTGGGGGTCCTTTTTCGGTTAAGGAAGGGGTTACTCTGTGCTCTTACTCTAGTTGCTGAGAACAAAGGCAAATAGGCATCTGAAGCACACAGCAGTGAGTCTGCCAACATCCAAATGAAAATAAAGAACATCTATAAAGAAGGTAGTAATATGCAGAGATAGTGACTATTCAAGGATAATGACCTTTGAGATAACAAATATATAAAGGGGTAAAGGAACAGACTCCTAGAAATAGGAGTGAGTGGGAGGTGTCTTTGAAGGAATTGCAGTCAGGAAGGGATGTGGACAACTGGGCTTCCCCCAAACTGAACCTGATTAAAAATCTCACTTCAAAAATACTTTAAAATAATTGAGGAAGCAATAGAGATCTTTTGAATAACTTGCTGCTTTGTGTTGTAGTGCCAAGGCATTTTTACTTCAGCAGTGTATGACTTAAAATCAGATTTATTTTCTTGTGGAGTCATAAGCTTTTTTAGACAACACAGTGAAATTCCTGCTACTCCCTTCATTTTTCTTTTGCTTTCTTTTATCTTCATTTTTCTTTTGCTTTATTTTTCTTCATTTTTCTTTTGCTGTTTTTTTTCTGTCAATCCTGAATAATCAAAAAATCTTTATGATTTTTGGTTTTTTTCTCTTTCATATATTACTTGAAAACTGGAACTTAGTAAGGCATTCTTTACTGAAATTTATTGAGGTTTCTTCTTGTTCAGGAGTACATTTAACATACCTAAAATCCCAGAGGAATTTGCTTAAATAACTTAATTTGTATGTATCTGTGGTGTTTGCACTCTTGATATAGTTCCACTGCTATGTCAAGCACTTCATATGGTAACAGGATCATTCCATCACACCAAAATACCATTTGTAAAGTCATATGCTTTCTCTGTTGTCAGTCTGTGCTAGCTGACCTTTATTTTCCTTCACAAAGGGAACTGCCCAGGTGTAGCATTGATTAAGCCACACATTTATGCATAGTCATAATAGGAGGCACTGAAGCCTCCCCTCCTGCACATTTCCAGATCAGTGCATATCTCAGGTGTCATTCACTGATGACTCTGAGGTAACTGTAGGCCATCACTGAAATGGCCACCTCATCGAATGTCTCATCTGACTGTGTCTGCCGCCATTCATATATTTGTATTAACACAGGGAACCAGACCAGGAAGTTGAGCAAGAAAACTAACCCAGCAAAAGAAAAATCCTTGTAATACCCATTCTAATAATCTAAATTCTAAATTAAGTAATTTCTAGCAGTCACTATTCAGTAGAGAACCACTAACCTACTGGGTGACACAGAGCAGCTTTCTGTGTCCTTGTACAATTGTATTCCCTTCCTCTTTTTCTCTTTACCTTCTGTATTAGATTATGAGCTCCTCAGGGCAAGAACCATCTCCCAGTGTGTTTGCATTGTGTGCTCTAAATGTGCAGGTGTAAATGTATGGCAAATCAGATGTAATGATAATAACCCGGGATAATCTTTAATATTAGCTGATAGGATATCTTACAGACCAAATCTTATTGTGACATTAAAGGTTTTGTGTTTGGAGTCTCATACAAAAAGAATGGGATTTGCAATTAAGGTCCCAGTTCCTCAGCTTTTCCAAGACTGAATATTGCAATGCCAGTTAAAAACTACAGGCTTGATTGTCCTTTTACTTACACTATTTATAGCAGATCCTAAGTATGCATTAACATGGGTGCTGTTTCATCAGTGGGACTGAAAGAAAGGTGAAGCTGAAACTTTTACAGCAGCCAGAAAAAAAAAATCACACAGATAAGGTGAGTTAATGATGAAGAGAGAAATGGCTTTTAACACAGCTATGGTTCTAAATCCTGTGATACATTTAAGCGTATGTTCATGTTGTGCCTATTTATTCAGACATAATACGAGAAAGGTTTAAGAGAAATTATTCAATGTCTGGCGTTTTTTAGAAGGATAAGGACTTAAAACTTTTTCCCCCCTTTTAGCTATACCAGTAGAAACTGCCAAACAAAACGCAAACGTTGCTTTGGTTCTGACTTCGTGTGGAGGCCATATTGGTTTTCTGGAAGGAATATGGCCAAGGAAGTGCACTTACATGGACAGAGTCTTCAAGCAGTTTGTGCAAGCTATGTTTGAGCATGGAAATAAGATCTTAAGCATGTAGCTTTGGACCACTAGTATAGCACAGTGGCACATTCTGACAAGGGCAGTTAAGCTTAGTGCACAAATTTTAACTCCTGTAAGCCAGCAAATGGATAAAGTCCATTACTACATGCAAAAATATTTTTGCCTAAGATTTTGTAGCAAGAAACTAAATATTATGTTGTCACTTTTATATTTATTTTTAATATGCCTTACTAAGAATGACCTTAAATGAAACAGCATTCTGCATCATCAAATTGCACTTAACCAAAACTATCAAGTAGAAAGATTATAATTCCTCAGGATTGTAATTTAAACCAATATGTATTTAGGAGACTTAATTTAGATGGCTTTTAATATTAGAATGGCGACACTCAAAATAGCTTCTATTATCCTGTCACACATAGTACAAGTTGGCCCATTCCTTAGGGCACCGATAGTGAAAATCTTAAAATATGAAAACAAAAGGAGGGAACAAAAAAAAGCACCGATTCTGCAAATAAATCAAAATTTCAGCATGTTATTCCATAGCATTAGATTGATACCTGCTTTTGCTGTTCTGCCCTGAGAGTATTCAGATTTAGGGCTGGTTATTGTTTTTAGACTATGTCAATGCCATACTTGTCTTATATGATTATTTTTTAAAGAGCTAATTTATAGTGTTTACATATAACCAAAATATTCCTTTAAAACAGTACTGTAATAACTTACATAATTAAAAGACATCTTGCATTTCAAATTTTATGTAAACCTGGGTGTTGTCATATAAGTAATACATGCTTCATATAACTGGTAAACTTGATGATTCAACCTGCTATGTTTATATTACCCTGCAAGAACATTTCAGTTTTAAAGAATAAACATTAGAGCATTGGGAAATTATTATATAATCTGCTTTAAATTAAAAAAAAAAATCCCAACCTTTTGTCTCTGGTACTGTTTCATATCATTTCTGAAAAAAATGCAACAAACTGTTTAAAGAAAGTTGGGATGAAGGTCAAAGTCCCGACTCTCTGGTTTGTTTATTTGATCATTTTGTCAGCATTCTGGCAGTAGGTTGTCAAATCACTGAAGCCACTGCAAACCGATTTCTGTCCTCGCAGCTTATGAGTCTGTGAGGTTGGCCGAGGCATTGCTGTTCTCCTCAGCCCTGACATACAGTGACAGCCAACGTGGGCCTGTGAAAAAAAAGGCCAGTTAGACAGAATATATTCTGAAACTGTTGGGAAGTCCAAATTTAGGGCATGCTAAAATTTAAACAAGGCTCTTAAGCGGCTTCTGTGGAGCTCCCACCTTCTGCTGATCACTGATTGGGGCCCAGCCACACAAGAGAAGTCAGTAAAGATGCCTCTGCATTTTTATTTTTATCTTTTGAGCGGGGTCAGTACAAGAAGAAAATGCAGCTAAAAAAAGCAAGTCAGGTCTTTTGTCTCAAGCAGTACGTGAACACTCCTCTTGCAAGGCATGTTTCCTAGTAACAGCAAAGGAAGAACAAAAATACTTTTTGTCTTTAGAAAAAGAAATTGGGACATGCTATACGAAAGCTGTTTTGTAAGGTGGACGGCTGAATTAAAAAAATTGGAAAGTGCTTTCAAATTTTGACTTTTAAGACAAGCACTAGTCCTTGCCCAGATAACGAACTCTTATTTTTTCTTTAATAAGCAAAATGAGAAAAGTGACTTGCAAAAGCAAAATGAATTTTTGTGCATGCTACTACAATACATGAAATCAGCATATTAGTTGGGTGCCTTATTTATTCTTGTATTCATTTCCAGGTTTTATGTTCATGCAAAAACAATGAGCAATAAACAGTGTATTTAGCATTATATTTGTAAAAATGTTGGGGTACAATACTGTTCAAAACTCACCATCAAGTATGAACGAAAATAAAACCACTTACATTAAATCACACTTTACTGTTTAAATAAAAGTAGTATGATTAATGGCAGAATTTCTGTCTCTCTGCACTGTCTTCATTTAGGTCCAATCCCACATACAAATCCCCATGAGACATTTATCTTTAAAGGTGTATCTAACAAAAATCTGTAAAGTTGGTTTCTTTCCCCCCCCAAATATTGAGTGTTTTTCCTTATAATCTATTAGGGAAAATGCATTGTTAGAAATACAGCGTGCAAAGTGGTTACAATCCAATTTTACTATGGGTATCTTAAAGCTTTCCCAGTCAGATTTTCTGAAACAAATAATGCGGTCACTTACCTCAGATCTTGCAAGGGACACACAAGCTAGAAACAAGTGCCATAAATATTTTTGCTATGTAACATCTGTGTACCTTGTACACAGAGTTTCACAAGTGAGCCAAAATTCACAATGTGCCCTCTATTGAAAACAGTGTGAATTTACAGGGTCTTAATTTGGCTTTTCATGTGATCTGAGTATCCAGACATCAACAGGAATATGAAATGTTTAAGGTGGGAGGAAATTGTTAGTTATCATTGTACTCATCACTGGAAAGGTAGAGTAGAATGAAAATGAAATTCCAAGCCACAAGGGCTGCAGACATCTGCGTTTTAAAGAAAACTTTCTTCCTAATTCAGAACTGTATAGTAGCTGAAGTTGGCAGGGATCTCTAGAGATTGTCTAGTTCAACCCTCCTGCTCGAAACAGGACATACTACAAAAATGCTCCAGAACATCCACCTCTTCTCACTTTGCCCTTGGAGTCAATGCATGGTACTGTTCTTTTTATCTGTGAGGCCTTCAGTCATCCAAGAGCCACCTGTGATCTCAGCTGTCTTAGTACCAGATCCTAAAGAGCAAAGTTTTAAGGCGTAATTTATTATATCCTCTCTTGGCAAAAAAAAAGAGAGAACTGAAAATTTAAAATAGCAAAATATGGTCCTATGATTATATACAGAGAAACTAACCCACGCCATATATTTCACACTGAACAGAAGAATAAATGCTCTTTTTAGAAACCCAGACACATAACAAAGTGTTTAAAAGACTTAGCGGAAAGGGCTATGGAGGACAGTTTACAACTCCACAGGAGCTGGTGTCAAGAAAATGCCAGTGAAGCAGCAGTGACTCCAGGCAGGTTAACATGGTCTGGTCAATATGGCACTGAGTGCCACCCTTCAGACATTAACATGCTGACTGTTGCAGGATGCAGTCAGTCTGAGGCCTAGACTCACCATTCCCCTAAAAAAAATTCTCACATTCAGCATGCGAGCAAAGCGGACAAGTTTTTTCCTGCCTCTCTGCAAAAATAAAAACACCAAAACAAAATCAGCTATTCAAATTCCACACCGCCCCCATTTTGAATATGGCCCCTCTGCTTTCTCAGCTAAGTGCTCTGTAAAGCTCTTTAACTCCAGGCACTCAGGGCACCCTCCAATCCATATTGTCCCACGTGCTATCTACATAGAAATTTCAGAGGGGAACTGCCTCTTCCCCTACAACTCCTATTACTACCTGGCTCATGCCAATGACTCATACCTGCCAGGAAGAGGACTTTTAGTGTACATATGGTGCTCATGAGCAAGCACACCATACCTCTCCCCAAGCCTCTTCAGCTCAATGCATCATCGCCTTGAGGAAAAAAAAGGAAACATTTGTTCCCTAAGTCATCAAGTTGCTGTCACACACAGGCACCCTTCAACCTGTGCCACTTGCTATAGTTCTCATCCCTGGATGCCAGCTGGTCAAAAAATGCTTAGAAAGCTCAAGGCAATGAATAAGAAAGAGAAATGTATAAAAGAGCCCAAGAGACTCCCCTGGGGCCTTGCCACTGACCTCCAGCATACATGCTGGATCCCCCCACAACAGGTTAGTGGTGGTTCTTGACAGCCAGCAAAATAACTCCTGCAGCCAATCTGCTGTGAAATATCTCACCCATGTTTCTACATTTTTTGGGGGTTGTTGTTTTTTTTTTTTCCCTGGTTTGGAGGATTTTTTTTTTCATTTTCATTCCAACAGAAGAAAAGGAAAAATCTGCCAAACAGACAGCAGTTCTTCATAGGCAAACATCTCTTCCTCTGAGGGATCCAATTTTCCCTGTCTCATTCTTTCTACTGGAGATGCAAAAATCAGCCTCTCCCTTCTTCCTGGATGATGATAGAGGGACTTTTTGAATCTGCTGAAGGGAGGCAAATAAGGGCCCTATTCTGTCTCAGCTGCTCCTCCAGTTCTTTAAAGGTTCTATATATGTAGTGATTAGAAACCCACTGGTTTAAATGAGCTTCCCATGTGGCCTTACCTCACCTGTCTGAGGCATTCTGAGGCACTGGCAGTGCTTGCAAGGTTAATTACCGGTGAAAGGTTTAAGCAGCTACTGCCCCTTGGTTGTCTGTCACTGCTTCCTTGCTCAGATGAGATGTCTGATAAGCAATAGGGCAGGCTGGGAGTGTGTTCGCATGTCAAATGGGGCTCCAAGATCTGTGTGCTAGCAGGACCGCTGGGATTTAGTTTGGGATCAAGAGCTCAATCCTGTAATTCTGCAGCCTGCCCTAAGGCTGCAGTTCCACAAGCAGCTGTCAATGTTAACAGCACCCTCCTGCCAAAAGGAGAAGGCTTGCTCTTCCTCCTCCCCTGCCTTTTCTTATCCTCCCGGATTCCAGTCATATGGTCCTCAGCCTTCCTTACCGTGGCAGAATATGATTCAGTTTTTCCACTGGGTTATTTTTTTTTTGTTAGCTCAGTAAGTTAAATTTGCTTGTCTATGGGAGTCCCTGAGGTACTAGATGGAGGCTGGCATGAGGTAAGAAACTAGAGAAAACTGCTGAGAGTGGGGAAAGAAAGTGGAGGAAATAGTGGGAGAGACTTACCCTTTTTGGAGACAGTCATCTCCCGAAGCCGTAGCGCAACATGGCACTCTGCAATTAGTGGGGATGATCCATATATCAGCTGAGTTATTGCTCATGTGAAAAAAGGCCTAACTTAGAAGCAAGTATTTTTCACTTAGCTGCAGACAAGAGGCACTCCAGCAGTATTACAGCACTGGTAAATTAAAAAAAAGGCAAAATTAACAAAAAAATTCTTTTGGGGTTAAATCTGTCCTATCCACATACTCCACCTATGTGAATGCAGTTTCTCCTCCCAGTTCTGCAGCAAATTTGTGCCCGAGCACTCCTGTTCATATTCACCACAACTTCTGAGGACAGTAAATTCCTGTTGTTTTCTTTCGGCAAAATGCCATTTGCTAGCAAGTTCACACTGACATCAATGCTTCAAAATGCTGCCACCTTCTGTGGAAAACTGGAAATTTACTGGTATTCTATCCCATGCACTGAATTTTTCCAAATTTCAGAATTTAATGCTTTATAAGAATGCCTGCTGCTTTACTACTTCCCTGCTGCACAGTAAATTACTATTTCGTGGAAGGATGTGAGAAAATCTAGGTTTACTTGCTTCGTGTTCCTAAGAAAGAGGGATGGGAAAACATCATGTTAAATTTATAAAGTTAATGATAACATAAAGAAATGCTTTTATCATCCTCCAGGAAATTTACAGGCATCCCAGTGATTAAAATATCCTTCATCTGGAAAGGATTCTGTTGGTTACTGTAGGAGAGCAGGAGACCACATGTTGCTGCCTTCATTGTAAAGTCACAGCAGATTATCATGCATTAAAGAGGAGCTGCTACAGGGAGTTATAAATAACATCTCCTCCTATCAGCTTTTAAAAAAAACTGCAGCTGCTGAAAATTTCCATTTGTCCAGTACAAACTGTGCTTCAGTGAAGTCTATCCAGGACTTAGCAAGCAGGCTGTTCCCTGTTTCAGTTAACAAAGAGACAAAAAACTTTACATGCAGAACAAAGTATCTCCAGGTCATTTGCTCTATACAAACAAATTTATGCTATTCAGAAAACAGCAATTTCCAACTATTAATCCCATAAATGTGATAGCTACAGAAATCACTAAAATATTTAGAAGATTATAAAATATATATTATAAAAATAACCCCATTTTAAAGTCTTCAAGCATTAACAAATGAATATTTACAGAACCAAGTGCTAAAATACTTGTGTGGTCTTGTTAGATCAACAAACTGTAACCAGAAATCTGTACAGGAAATCAGAGATCTCTGGGAGAAACCTTGTCACATACTACCATTCAAAACCTTTTCTTCTACCATATTCCACGGTTATTGGATGAGGTTCATCATGCTGTTCTCCAGTCGTTCTGATACAGGGGTGTATACACATCACTATGTGAACTCATGATCAAATAAACTGAGACTGTCTATATTGGCAAGTAGAACATACTGCTAGGAGAGGATATGCACAGCAAAGCTGCTGAATATTGAGATCCTGACACACATACTATATGCATTTCAGGTAGGACCTACTTCAGATTAGCCCTAGCCTAGTGCTAACAGATGGAGCGCACTAAGTATGCACGAGGCATTCATCTTCTGATCACTCCCACTTGTCATGCAGGGTCTTGGAGTGTTTATAATGGACTCCTTTTGAAGGAAACCAAACCGACAGCTACATCCCCAGAACATACGCAATATCTTCCAACCCTAGCAGTCGCTGCATCCACAGGACTAGACTAAAGCCGGTCTGGACTGACACATCAGTGGTGTGGATATTGGATTCTCAGTTCCCCATCTCTTGTTCAGAACTCTTATTTGCCAGTGTAGACACAGGCTCAGATACTGAAACAACCTGAGGCAAAGAAGCCACAACATAACGTTAGTTGAGGTATAAACACATTACCAGTGTAGCAAGGACTGAAATATCCCAGACCATGGCAAAAATCACAAATACATGGTTATGCCATAGAATCAGTTATAAAACACTGTGCAGAATACACAGAATAAAACTAGCTAGCTGGCACCTGCGAGGTTACTGCTGAACTTAAAAAAGCAAAACAAGTTGGACAAGTGGACTCAAAAAGGCAGCTCAGTGAGCGAATTCAGTGCTCTGGAGATAGAAGTGGACATGGCACAGGACCAAGACACACCCAACAATCATCTTTAGGCTCCAAGACACAGACAAGCGTCTGTCCTGCTTTTACACCCAAGAGACACATGCTGTCACTGTTCTCCACCTATGTCAAAGGAGCTGACTGCTGTCTGCACACCTAACACACAGCTGAGCAGCAGGAAATCCCCAGTAACTCCAGAATGTATCTTTGCATCTTTAAAGTTTCCAAAGGTTGTGTTAAAGAAGATCACTTCCAGTACAACACCAAACCTATTTTAGAGGCATTTCCAAACACACTTGTGAGAAGGGGCCTGCAGGAGGTGCTGGCTAAGGAAATGATGCTGCGAGCACACACTGCTGCGACACCACCAGGGACTTGGGGAGACTCAGAATCACAGAAGGGGTCAGGTTGGAAAGGACCACGGTGGGTCATCTGGTCCAACCTCTCTGATCAAGCACGGTCATCCCAAAGCACATTGCACAGAACTGTGTCCAGACAGTTCTGGAATACTTCCAGTGAGGGAAACTCCACAGCTTCTCTGGCCAATCTGTTCCAGTGCCTGTTCACTCGCACAGTAAAGTTCTTCCGCATATTCAGGTGGAACTTCCTGTGCATCAGTTCCTGCCCGTTGCCTCTTGTCCTATTGATTGGCACCACGGAGAAGAGCTCCATCCTCTTGGCACCGCCTCTTTAGATATTTATACACGTTGATGAGGTCCCCTCTCACTCGACTTTTCACTTTGCATTTCACTGTTGCTGCAGCTGTGAGGTGTCACTGACACAGCGCCGGCCGCCACGGAAGTCACTTTGTTCCTGCTGGCCCCACAGCATGCGGCGCCGCTTTCTCTCCTCGTTTTTGGCAGGCGGAGAGGGAAATGCCAGGGGACGAGCCTGGGACAGCCCATCCGGACGCACGGCGGTTCGAGCGGGCTGAGCCGCCGGGATATCGCCGCCCGGGGGGAAGCTTAAGTATCATCCCGTTCCAACTCCGTGCCATGGGCAGGGACACCTCCCACTAGACCAGGTTGTTCAGAGCCCCATCCAGCCCGGCCCTGAACCTTCCAGGGATGCGGCACCCACAACTTCTCTGGGCAACCTGTTCCAGTGCCTCACCTCCCCTCACAGTAAAGAATTTCTTCCTAATACCTAATCTGAACCTACTTTCAGTTTGAAGCCATTCCCCCTTGTCCTGCCAGTAAATGCTGTTGTCAGTATCCCCCAGTCCTTGGATGCATTTTTTAATTAGTACTGTCTCCGGATTCCTTGCTTAACATTCCCATATGGCAGAGACGCCTTCACACAGGCGGCCGCGCACGCGCAGACCGCGCCGCTTCTCCCCTCCCCGTTCCGATTCCCGCCGGAAGATGCCCCGTCCCCGCCGGGAGGTTGGACCGGCGGCGGGCGGGACGGGGCGGTGCCGCGGCGGTGCCCGGCTGTGGGCGGTTCGAGGCTCGGGCTCGCCGCCTCCGCCGGCACGTCTCCGACACCCTCGCGAGGTAAGCGCCCGCCGGGAAACCGGGGAGCGGGTGAGGAAGTTGGGCCACCCCGCCCCGCCCCGCCCCTCCCGCTTCCCGGCGGGTCCCGTGGCCCCCGGGCCCCCCGCACCCAGTGCCCCCCGCGCCCCCGACCGGGACCGAGAGCCCGGCGGCGGCTCCTCCCCGGGCCTGTCCACCGCTGCCGCGGGGGGAGCGGGCCGGCCGTGCCCTGTCGCCGGAGGGAGCCGGGGAGGGGGCGCCCAGCGGCGTCCGGCACCATCCCGGCACCATCCCGGTACCCTCGCCCTGCCCTGGCGGCGCTGGCCGCGGGAGCTCCTGGCCGGGGATACGGTCTCCCCGCCAGGCCCTGCCCCAGGAGGGTGTCACGGCGGGGCACTGGGGCGGGTGACACCGGGCCACGCTTGGAGGCCTTCCCTTCCTTTCCCTTCCCGTCCCCCCGAGTTCTGCCTTGGCCGTCAGCCGGGACGGCTCAGGTGCGAGACCCCCGCGCCCTGTCCAGCAGGTGGGCATCCATCCTCAGCCCCCTACCGTAAGGACTGGAGGATGTAGGACTCCCGTTTCTCTGGCTTTTTTTTTTTCCTTCTGTACTTCTTGCACCAAAATCTTTGATCGTGTTCTAGTTCGTTCCTGCACTTCTGTGTCTTCCCTTCTTTCCATGATCTGACTTTTACTAGAGGGCGACTACTCCAGGGCAGAGACTGCCAGTTCTGGAATGTCTGGAAAAGACTTTGCTCTGTTGTGCAAAGTATTAGTAGGAAAGAAATTGCTGTTGAAGAGCTCTGTGGGAGGAGAGTGTATTTGTCAGTGTCCTGAGAAGCAATGTCGATGAGGGAAGGATTGTACTTTCTGGTTTGTACTTGAAAGTCTTTCCCGAGTGTGCCATGTCATGTGTTCGAGAGCTCTGTATATTTCTGGAAAAAAGCCAAGAAAGTCCAGGTATATACAGTACGTGTCATGGTGTTCTCAAATTCCAAGAGTCTGTAGAAGACCAAAGGCTTATTCAGCAACTAGAGCTGTTATTTCCATGATAAGTGGCCATGCCGCAGCTCTGACGGACTGGCTTTAACTACTGGAAACCCGTAGACTTGCGAGGTGTCATGGAGCTCATGAGCTATTAGAACTTAGGCACACAAATTCTGTTACCTGCTCCTCAGGGACAAATGTGGAAATAGCACCATGAAAAATGCTATTAGAGATTTACTCCCTGGATAGAAATAAAAAGTATATCTTAAATATGAGTTGCTTGTCATGCAGCTTCTTTAAAGGTCGGCAGACAGCACCGGTGTCTGGAATCTGAGTTTTTGTCAGTTTTTTAATGAAAATTATCAGGTTTGCATGGTTAGTTATGCATTTCATAAATGAGCAGATAAATGCAAATGAGGTTAAGGACAATTTAAAGCCTAAAGAAAAGAAGTGCAGCTGTTTACTTTTTCCTTTTGGATAATGAATAATTATTGAAAGGAGCTGAATGTAAGTATCTTTCAAATTGTCAGAGAAAGACATGCATTTGTCAATACTGGAAGTCGTACTGTAGTTGTAATGAACTGAAAGTATCTGGTCTGTGTTATGCAACTGGTAACTCGAAGTTCCTGTTTGACCTTAATAGTTTGTCAGATTTAACATCAGGTCAGTTCAGATTTGAAAAGCAGTATAGTTCTGCTGCAGAAATATTTCTTTGTCAATCTGTCAGTGACAAAAATTAATAGGTAATCCTTGATTGAAAAAGGTGATGTAGAAGTTCTCATGAAGACATGGTCTTTAACTGCCCAAGGCAGATGTCTCAAATAATGCTACTTTCTGCGTTTTCCATCTCTGATTTGTAGCTTAAGTCATATTAGGAGGAACAGTTATAGATGGTTGCTGATGTCTGTGAAGTTCTGTTGTAGCAGCCACAAAACTTAGTGGAGTCTAATGGATTTATTCACTGTTGCCGTGAGGCACAGGATTGACAGTGGGCCCATTTTTTTGTTGGCTGTGAAAGAGAGCAGCATACTGTTTTCTGGAAAAAGGTGAAAGGCTGAGAAACTTCCTTTCGAATGGTGCTGTTATCTGCCACCTTTCGAAAGGTAAAAGAGTAATGCTTAAGACAGCAAAATGCTGGAAATTGTTGGATATGGGAAGAAAAAATAAAATAAAATTTGTATGTTGTTTTTTGAATGTTTCTTAGTTTGTTTTTTAATTCCATATCAAAGAAACTTTAAAGCTAAGCATTGTCTGAAGGGATGGAAGAAGGTGGGAATTCAGAGTCTGAGGAGGAAATTAATAAAGTGTTTACTGCATAAACATTTTTTATTTTTCATAGGTGGCATGAAACATCTAGTTTGTAAGCATATGCATAAGGAATGCTCTTGGCACACCTTGATAAGTTACTTTGGCCTAAACATCGATTGCTTCTTTTAAAAACGTAAGTAAAATAAGTGTAATATGATTTGAGATTTTCTTTCTGATCACAGTTAGCATGATCTGCCTATAAAAGGAAAAGTGAATATATGAAGGTGAAAAGTTACAACTTTTGACAAAGACTCTGAAAGCTGTTGTGTTTTACAGAAATGGCAGCTCAGAAAAGGAAGTCTACGTTAGTAGAGCCTTCTGCTAAACGTCCAAAGCTGGACAAGAACAGCAAACAGTCATCAGCAAAGAAGGAAAAGGAGGTGTCAGATACAAAACATGGCTCAAATAAGTCAAAGCCTAATCAGTGTGCAGTGCAGGAGAAAACTGTCCTCAAAACCTCTGTCAAATCAAACAGGTCAGTGACAAAAAACTATGTAATTGTTCTAGGTTATCTTCATAGGTTACTTTGGTGCAGAAACAATCTAAGCAGAGGGAATCCAAGTTAAAGATACAGCTGAATAGTTAAATAGTACTAGTAGGGAGATCAGACTTAAATCATTAAGTACACTATCTGCTATGTAATCTTTCTCTGGAACCATGTAAGTGTCTTGAAATCCAGAAAGACTTTCTTGAAAAAAGTTTCTGAAGTGGAAATTAAGCTAATGCTTCCTTTGAAAACCACAAGTGTCAACTATTAAAAACTGCTAGAGATGTTAAAAAGCATTCATCTGGGGTTCATAGTTCAGTCTTGCCATGCATAAAAACCATTAAGGGTACACTTGAGAGTAACCAGGTAGAAGCGAACTCTTTTTAGAATGATTCCAGAGAAAATTCTTCTAAAAGTATTGAGGATGTAAGATCTAGTGTTTTAAGAAAGAAAATAAAAAATAAGGCAGAAGTTAGTAGGAGTGAAAAGAATCTTATGACAAATTCTACTTTCTGGATGCTGAAAAAATAATTATTTGAATCTTTCAGTGATAACACCAATGAACCTGAACTAGGAATGCGCATGACTACAAGATCATCAGCTTTCAACTCAGATAATAAAACAATACCTGGCAAAACAGTCCAGCAGCAGCAGCCTAAATCTGCAAAAAATAAGGAGGCATGCCAGAAAAAATCTGTGCAAGAAGTTCCCAAGTCAAAATGCATAATTGCACCAAATGAGCCAGTAATGAGGAGATCACAGAGACTGCAGCAGTTAACACATGTACATGTTCCAGCAAGATCCCTGCGCAACAGAGAAGTTAAAGAAGAAAAAGCTTTGGAAGTTAAGCACAGTAGCCAGGCAAAAAGAAACAGTCACAGTGTTCCAGCAAAAGCACTTAAATCTGCTGGAGAGAAAACGGAACAGAAAAACACAAAGATAAAGTCAAAAAATACTAATGAGAATAAAGAAATACATGTAGAGGTGACCAGCTCTCTGAAAGAGAAGAAATGTAAAGCAGACAATAAAAAGGATAATTCCAATAGCTTGCAACGCAGTCTTCAAGGGTCCTCATTATGTCCTGACGAGAGTCTTGAGGAAGTTAAGAAAGACCAAACAGGCCCTGTATCTCCTAATCCTAGCAACACAAAGAAAGTGGAAACTGATTCTCTTAAGCCAAATTTTAAGACAGTATCTAAGGAAAAGCAACAAACACATCAGAACATAAAACCCAATACAAAACCAAAAAATACTTCACAGCCATCTGTAAGTGAAACGAGTGCAGCTGATCAACCAGAGAATGATGTGAAATCCAAAAGGGTGAGCATCCTTGAACTTTGTGAAGAAATTGCAGGTGAGATTGAGTCAGATACAGTAGAAGTGAAAAAAGATTCCCCTAATGCCGAGGATAGCAAAACAGAAGAAAAGCAGGATGACCTGCATTTACAACAAAGTGAAGTGCTTACTCAGAAAGAACCTAGTCAAAGTACTCAGTGCAAACGTTTTTTCCCTAGCAAAAAAGGAATGCCCGTCAAATGTACTCTGAATGGTAGAAATAACTCCTCAAACAAAAACTCTAAATGGACCAAAATTAAGTTGCTGAAAGCTAGTAATATGAAGCAAAGTAACTCAAATTCTGCAAATGCCCCCAAGGTTGCTTTCTTAAAAGATTTCCCTGAAGTTTCAGAGGCAAGTCAAATAGCTACAGAAGCAGAGCTTTCGAAGGCACAAAGCAAGCTGTCAGCAAGACTCTCCGAGAATGAAAATACAACTTGTGTGCAGGAGAAATCAGATCCTTCAGCTGAAAGAGCTGGAGTTAAAGAAGTGACATTAGAAACAAAACAGCCCACAAGGAAAGGTGCAGAAAATGGTTTGTTGCCTAATTTGACAAAACATTTATGTGAGCCAAGACCAGATGAGGTAAGTTATTTTAATTATGGTGTATGGTGGGAGGGTGTTCTAAATCTGTTGTGTTTTCTGAGAATCCTGTGTTCAGAAACTTCATTTTAACAATGACTTTATTTTACAGTAACTTAAAATTTTCAAATGTATTAAAGATTTACTGTTGTGTTGTCATAGATAGGATGATAGCAAGCTGAAAAATGATCGATTCCACACTCCTAAATTCTGTTGTTAGTTAAATGTTGATCAGTAAAATTTTCTGCTGGAGCCAGAGGTTGTACAGATTGATATGTATACTTTTTCATGACTTAAGCTTCCATAGCTATTCTGTTCTGGAAAGGTGTATTAAAGGAACACTTGTTTCCCTCTCATTTCCTTATCTGAATGAGCTTCTGTTAAAATTTAAGATTTTAAGGACAGCTGTGTTCTAGAGGAAGTATTTTACAAGCTTATATATAAAATGAAAAAGATTTTTTTTAAAATTAGTACTACAAATTTCAGTATGGAGTAGCCAATCAGTTGCATTTTGTCTGCTTAAAATAATGTAGGAATCAGAAAACTGGTGCTGTATTTGAGATGGTAATACTTAGTTAAATTAGTGGTTTTGTTAATAGGTTAAAGGCCTTAAATAATTTGTTTTTTTTTTTATTTAACGTTTCCTGTTTTGTTTAGAACTTTCGATTACATTTGGAATCAAGTCCAGAAAGTTCTCCAGTAAAGTGTGTTACAGCTCCTACACCACCAAAACAAGTTAAAAAAGAACCCAGAGAAAGTGAACCTCAAGGTAACTGTTTACTAGTAATTTCTCCACTTCTTTTGACCGGTTCTATGGGAAGCATAAGCCTTTCTTTAAGAGGAGCATTTCACACAGTAAGGTACAGCTGGCACA